GTACGCCTATGGCGAAAATAACCCGCCTTTATCAGTGTTAAGTGGTTTAATATGGCGAATGCTGTGAGATATTTTTGTCGAGTGTATTATCTTGTAGAATCTAGAGGTAAGGTTTAGATGTACTATTATTGTCCCCAGTGGACTCTAAAATAACTCTAGTGAAGTGCGTCCCTGATAATACCAGATAATCTTTGTTTTAGATATAATGGGCACTCCCTTAACTCGTGTCAGTCCGAGAGAGTGGGAGAGAAACGGGGTTTAACGTCCACGTGACACAATCTAGGTCATTTCGAGACTAACATTAAAGAGTAGATTAACGTGCACTCGACACAAACGAGGTCATTTCGGGACTAACATATGGTTCTATTTTATTTCAATAATTCACTTGCGCGTAGGGGTCTTTAGCAGAGGACCCGGAGAAAATCCACGAGGTTGAACAGGCGACCCCAGTCCTTGTCACGTTCAACCAGGGAATCGAAACCACTCCAGTTGACTCAATGACAGACCTTGTGATACAGTGCAACGCGCTAACCACTCGGTCATACACCCCCCACCCCCAGTCAGAGAGAGAGAGAGTGTGAGAGAGAGACTTCGCTTCGGATGGAGACCACGCCACGTGATTTGACCATCTTCCACGTCCCCCACCCCTCACCCTTCTATGTTGGAAGTACGGAACGGATCGATTATTGATAGCCGCCTCGTTGATCTTATGACAAGAACCGCTGTCTAGTCGTTAAGATTGGGTGAAAACCAACCGAGGTCCCGTGTATATATTAGCATGCACGTAAACGGTCCCTTGACAGTTGGAATTCGATCTAAGCGTAGGCCATAGTGCCGCTGCCCGGGCAAAATTTCCCTCATAGCACACTGGGAACAGAACATTAGGACGTTAAACCCCATTTCATTTCATTTCGTTGATCTTAGTCAAAAATTAAATTATCGATTTTATTTGTTGTTCTCTGTCAGTTGGGCATTCGTTACCCCTGACGATGGTGAAACGACCTGAACAGAACCCCGATGGCTCTTCTACACCCAGGGGGACATTCTAGGATAGAACACTGTCCTTGTTGTGTTTGTCCCTGGCTTGTCGATGATGATATGAGACATTGGTATGTCGATGATGATATCATATCAGTATTTCACTCTGGTCTTTATAAACATGAGTTTAAAATAGCCCGAACCCTTGACCCCTAGTTGATGCAGTCATTGACCCCTAAAATGGGGGAGTCTGTCGTCAAGTAGGGAGCTGGGTATATAAATATGATTTTAAAAGTGGAGCAAAATTCACTCTGTTTAAAAGAAACAAAATATTTCTTTTTGTAAAGAAGTTGGCAAACAAGGTGTAGAATAATACGAAGTTGGTAATCTAGTGCTTGTTGAGACGACCGGTGATAGGAGCTGTTTTCCCCATACAGAAAGAACCCTGGTTATTATCCGAGGTACGGATCACTGGAACTGTTTCCCCACACAGAAAGAACCCTGGTTATTATCCGAGGTACGGATCACTGGAACTGTTTCCCCATACAGAAAGAACCGTGGTTATTATCCGAGGTACGGATCACTGGAACTGTTTCCCCATCCAGAAAGAACCTTATCTAAGGTAGAAGTTATGGGTCCAGTCACCTGTTCTTGTATCCTGCTGTTGTATATCTACCTGAGTGTGTTGACGAAATATATGACGGTGGCCATACCTATAAATTATAAAAGCTGCGGTAAGTAGAACAGAATTCTATAATATACAGTCATGTACACCATTACAATATCTTCCTGGAAACGTCTTCGGCTTACTTGTACGTTTAGCTGAAATGAAATGAAATGGAGTTTAACGTCCGACTTTTCTGCACCGACGAGGATAATGAAGACGGACTTACGCCATGCCATGTGTATGACAGAGGCGCTACAGCCTACTCGTATATCAAATTCTAACAGTCAATGTATACACGGTACATTTTTCGTTGCATCCGAAGGACTTGAGAGCTGTCCTTGTCAGGCCCTCCGTCCTGCACCACTGACAAGGGGAAATCACTCCGGGAAGTCCAGAAGAATTTTTTCGGCCAGCAATGGGGCGGTTGGAACCCGAGAGACCTCCAGGCTAGTGAGCCAGCGTCTTACTCACTGAGCTACCACGGCTTCATGCACGTTTAACCATTCGAGTGAGTCTAGACGACAAGATATTAGCTCATTTAATTCAATCCAATTTTTACCGCAAAGAAAAAAGATTTTCCTACCGGCCTCTACACTATATTTTGTGGCCAAGTGCCCGTACACCCAGGTAGATTTTTATTTAGTCTTACGCAAGGTCTATAAAATACAAATTAATGTCAATACTTCTAAAAGACTTTATGTATCATGAAAATATTTCACTTCTGTTACCTGTAAGTTACCTGTAAGTTACCTGTAAGTAGTAGTAGATGTCGTGCATAGGGCAGAATAAGCTTACTCTTTATAGAACACCTCATACCTCTTCCCATTTTATGATTTCATATAACTTACTCTCCATAGAATAGCATTGCGTACAGAGTTTGTCTTGTACGTTTGAATCAGTGCCGGACTGGGCTCACCTGTCCACCTGTCCGTGACAGGTGGGCCTAAGCTCATTTAAAAAGTGGGCCTAAGCCTATAAAGAAAAAAGAGAAAGAAAAAAAAGAAAAGAGAAAGAAAGGAGGGGGGGAAAGAAGGAAGGAGAGGACAGGACACAGGAGGAAGAACAGATAGGAAGAAAAAGGACTGACAAACAACACAAAAAAAGAAGTGTACTAGAATTCTCAAATTCATCTAATGATAGTGCTCTTAGGTTATTCTGTTATCTAATTGTATCAGGAAATCAAAAATTTGCCTTCTTCTGCTTTGGTCTGAAATGCGGTTGTCAATTTTTCAAAATTTTCCTGGGGGGAGAACACCCCCCCCCCCAACCCCCTCGGACGCTCGCGCGCTCGTGACGCGCCGAATTGTGTCGGCCTTGGTCAATGACCTGACAGTCCGGCACTGGTTTGAATTGTTAAGGTCAACTGAGTGCTTATATTGTTTTTTACCTGAGTGTTAAGGTCAACTGAGTGCTTATATTGTTTTTTACCTGTTTTTCTTTGATTACTGTAACGGTCATGATTGTGTTAGCCTGTCAAACATGACGGATCTAAGTTACGCAATATGTATCAAATAGAACCATATTAATTTTCATGTTCACCGAAGGCGATTTTATGATGACGAATGATATGCTTTTATGTATCCATTTAGGATATACTTGATTTTATTTTCATCAAGACCGATGTAGTAATAATCCTCCTACACGACATTTCAACCGATAAATACTCACAATGCAACACATAGCCATTTGATCCCTCTTAAAGGGTATGCGTTGGTGGGACGATATTCGAATGGTTTGCAAGTGTGCGCTGTATCATAAGGTCTGCCGTTGAGTCAACTGGCGTAGTTTCGAATCCCCTGTTGTACGTGGCAAGGAGTAGGGTCGCCTGTCTAACCTCGTGGGTTTTCTCCGGGTACTCTGGTTTCCTCCCACTACTAAAGACCCCTACGCACAAGCGAATTATTGAAATACAATTGAACCATATGTTAGTCCCGAAATGACCTAGTTTGTGTCGAGTGGACGTTAAACCCCATTTCTCTCTCTCTCTCTCTCCCTGTCAAAGGGTCATATTCACGAAACTTAAGCTAAAGTATAAAGTATTTTAAGAAAGCAACCTTAACTCGTAAAAAATAGATAATGAAAACAGAATATGCTATTCAATTTTAGGCTATCCTTGACCTTCATTACTGCCGCTGGTACGATAAAAAAAACGGGAGGGGGGTCACGGTGGCTAAGTGGGTAAGACGCTGGCTCGCTAGCCTGGAGTTCGGGTGTTCGATCCCTGCATTGGCCGAGAAAGTTCATCCAGATTTTCCGGCGTGGTTCCCCTTGTCAGTGATGCAGAAAGGAGGGCCTGACAAGGACAGCTTTATAATCGTTCGGATGGGACGAAAAACCGAGGTCCCGTGTACATATTGGCGTGCACGTAAAAGATCCATTGACAGTTGGAATTCGATATAAGAGTAGGCCGTAGTGCCGCTGTCCGGGCAAAATTCCCCTTATAGCACACTGTATGGCGTATGCCCGTCTTCATTAGCCCAGTCGGAGCAGAATTGTAGGACGTTAAACCCCATTTCATTTCTACCGCGGTGACATTGTACATAAAACCAGGATAATGAAATAAAAGTCGACGAATGGCCACCCAGTCCGGCGACAGATGTTAAGATAATATTAACGGTACATTATAGTATCTCGCGAACCGTTCATTAGTTGGACCATCGCGGAATAAGTTGATTCATAAAGACGCGTTGGGGAATTGTAGAAAACTAAATTGGAGAGCTGTGACAGAAATATAAGATAGTGTGGCGATAATTGGAGTTTTTATGATCTGGTTGTAACAGCCATCTCGCTAACCTCACATTACTGTCTGGCTACAGGGATTCACTTGATGTCAAAGATTTGATAAATTGAAATTTGATGACCGCAACATATTACATCTGTAGAAGCTAATGAGGAAGGCTAATATGTGGAATCGTTATTAGTCTCGACGCGGGGTTGGATGGCCGAATCCTCGTGTTTCCGGTTTCCTCCCACTGCTAAAGACCCCTACGCGCAAGCGAATTTATTGAAATAAAATTCAACCATGTGTTAGTCCCGAAATGACCTAGTTTATGTCGAGTGAACGTTAAACCTCTCTCTCTCTCTCTCGACACCGCGACCGTTTGTACAGAGTCTTCACGGGTAACATTGGCATTGAAATACGTCTCGGCACCGCGGCCGTTTAGAGATGGTGTTCACCAATCTGTTTCCCAGAGGTAATGCGAAAGCCTTCATCTTACTCTGTGTAAGATGTCTGTCCTTTAAAAGTTCATATGCATTCTACATATGACGTCACATCACACAGCGTCGACCATTGGCTCGATAGCGCATGCCTTGTTTACGTAGGACGTGGTAACGTAAACTGGTCCCAAGCAGAATGATGCCTTCACGTACTATTTTGATGTAGCCATTATCCCATCTATCCAGATATACTTCAAACACCTATATTTTTTTTCTAATTCTTAAAATAAAGTGCTCTAAAATTTAATATGCAGAATATATTGTGAGCTTATTAACTCACACCGATGTCAATGCTTGGGAGTCAGTATTGTATTATCCGAAAGGCTGGCTAGAGCAGGATCCGGGAATTTTTTTAGGGCTAAATGTTAACACTATGGATACGGCACGTCACTGAATATTAATTAAACATACATTATGCAAGAGCTAAATTTGCCTATTGCAGGTTTTTCTTTAGGCCTGAAATGTTATATAAACTATTAATTAGACATTTATTAACATGAAAAGAACATAATCAACTCTCGATGTCATCGTATGTGTCGGATTTTTACTGGATTTGAATTCGATCTGCCGCTCAAAGCTCATTGATGATTAAATCCAAAAATTGGATAATCGAGACTATGGTTTTTATCGTACCGACTTTAGTAATGATGATCGAGACTAGGTCTAAAATTCAATCGCTAATATCTCTGTTCAGAGCGGATCAATTTGACTGAAATTTTTTAGTATATTCTGTTTACATTAAAGTTTTTAACTATTATAGTGCGAACTGCCAGTTCTTTATCTAATCTCCCATTAGTCATTTCGGGACTAACATATGGTTTAATTTTATTTCAATAATTCGCTTGCGCGTAGGGGTCTTTAGCAGTGGGAGTAAACCGGGGAACCCGGAGAAAACCCACGAGGATGGACAACCAACCCTACTCCTTGTCACGTACAACCGGGGATTCGAAACCACGCCAGTTGACTCAATGACAGGCCTTATGACGCAGCGCGCACGTGCAAACCATTCGGCCATCCAACCCCCCTCCCCCGATAGTGTGAGTCTCTACTACTCATTACTTATAAAAGCTTCAACTTTCACTTCCCCGGTTGTACATGACATGGAGTTGTAACTCCTATTCAACCTCGTGGGTTTTCTTCGGGTTCTCCAATTTCCTCTCACTGCTAAAGACCCCTACGCGCAAGCGAATTATTGAAATAAAATTGAACCATGTGTTTGTCCCGAAATTACCTAGTTTATGTCGAGTGGACGTTAAACCCATCTCTCTCTCTCTCTCCCTCTCCCCCCCCCCCCTAAACTATTCTTTAAACCGTTTCCAAGTTTTGTACTCTTTTCTCTCACCTACTTCAGCTATAAAGTTCTATCAACTTCAGTAATGACTAACAGTACAAATAACATGTCCACAAGTTTTTGCACCGACACCATTGAACGATAAATATTTAAGATGGTGTTTACAACTGATATTAATCCGTCATTTTCTTTTATTAGGTCCCGCGGGTTCAATTAAGGCGATGGATTTATCACCATGTACTGTTCAACCATGTACCTTTCAACACGGCATCAATGCCACGGTTAAACTGGACTTTATTACTAGTAAGTATTTTAATCCACCATCTAATTATCTCCCTTGGCGCCTTAAGCGTGGACATTAATGGTCCCATTGCCGTGTCGGTATATTCGTTATAGAATATATAGACAACTTTGCACTAAAAATTCTACACACGAACGACGCAATTTTGATAATTAATTTTTAAAGGCGGCAAGTTTTCCTAACAGGTAATCCGTGCCGCATCGCAATTGTATAGGCGTAGGTACGTATCACTTACCGTCATACAGCCATGGTGAGATGTAGAGTAACGGAATCTGTCGAAGTTGGTTTCGATTCCCTACTTGTGCGTGACAAGGAAGGGGGGGGGGGGTCCGTCGGTGTTTTTCTTCTCCTACGGTTCATCACGCTCTAGCGAATGATTGAAATCAAATTAAGCCATCCGTTAGTCCCGAAACGACCTAGTAGAGATGATCTGTTCAAGCCACTAATGATCTTTAAAACCACTAAGCATCAATTTGAAAGTTGATAATATTAAAGGAATGTTAGAGGGGTTGGATAGCCGAATGGTTACCATGTGGGCGCTGTATCATACGGGCTGTCATTGAGTCAACTGGCTGGGTTTCGATTCAAGGAGTAGGGTCGTCTGTCCAACCTCGTGGGTTTTCTCCGCGTCCTCCGGTTTCCTCCAACTGCTAAAGGCCCCTTCGCGCAAGTGAATTTTGAAATAAAATTTCAAAAAACATAATGTTACTCCCGAAATGACCCCGTTTGTGTCGAGTGGACGTTAAACCCAATTTCTCTCTCTCTCTTACAAAACAATCTCCAGGTTCAAACCTTTGTATCGTTTGATAATCCAAGGGAAGTAAATCCATTATACAACATCGTGTGGCCTCGTCAGGAAAATGCAAACGATTTGTTGTGATATGACAAGAGTCTAGGCCCTGGGTTCCCGACCCCTGGGTTGCAGCCCCAGCTAGAGGATTAGTCTGAAACTTTTGTTAAAGGGGCTAAATCGCTAATATTTGGGGCCTACAAATTGACACAAATGGGTCGCAACGTATATTAATGTAATATGAATGTAAATAAATTGATTTACATTCAATCGTTTCCGTTTTTACTCGAATTTCAAAGCAGTTATGTTCGGCGAAATACGAAAGAAGACTCAATCGAATGGCAATTTCTAGCGTCTAGTTATTCTAATCTACACAGATAGTATTTATTGCGCATGCTCTCCAGATAAGAATATGGGGTCATGACTTGTGGAATGTGTCTAACCTCGTTCTTCCGAGTCGCTTGTATCAAATTGCGCTAAAATGCATTATGGTACACGATTCATGTACCAATCGTAAAAATTTTATTTTGTCTTAAATATTGGATATCAGAAGCCCATCTTTTCCCGGTATGATCACAACACCAATAAAGACCCCTACACGCCAGCGAATTTTTGAAATAAAATTGAACCATATGTTACTCCCGTATGTTAGTCCCGTAATGACATAGTTTGTGTCGAATGCACGTTAATATCTCTCTCTCTCTCGCGCTACATAGGCCTACATTCAATGGTCTAAAACATTCATAGAGTCATGCTGGTGATGGGGTGGAGCGCGGCGACGACGCGTGATGGGCGAACATACACACAAACATCTCTGTTTTTATTTATATAGATTCTACCAGTACGAGTCTGAAGACCCAAGTATATGGTATCGTAGCCGGTGTACCTATAGCTTTTCCTCTACCTAACCCTGATGCCTGTACCGGATGTGACGTAACATGTCCTATTAAACCAGGAACAGTTTATGATTATGCAAACATACTTGCTGTCCGTAAAGAATACCCATCAGTAAGTATAAATATTTGGACGGATCAATTGTAGGGGTGGGGGAGGGTGACCTAGTGGTCTAGAGTGTCGCGCCAAGACCTGGAGCTGGCCGGTCACCTCTGGCTTGCGATTGTGGTTTCGTTCCCTGGTGTGAGCTTTGGGATAGGAGCATCTTCTCAACCTCGTGGGTTTACTCCGGGTACTCTGGTTTCCTCCCACAGGAAAGATAATAAAATTTTAAATACAGACAACTTGTCTGCGATATCACCTTCGGTGGAAGCGGACGTTAAACACTAAGAACAACAACAGTGGTAGGGGTGGATGTCAATCGTGGGTTGAAGGTCAGACGTAGGGGCCAGTGGCAAACGTATAATCGACGGGCAGACGTGGAAGCAATGTTAAACGGCCAACCATTGATCCCTCCTGGAATTATTCCCTAGCTACGTCGTATTTTTGTTTGAAATTAAACCAATCCTAGAGCAGAGTGTAAAATTTTATTTGAAATCGGAGAATATTACAGACAAAGGGCGGTGGTGTAAATCCTTCGTTTCTTACCTATAAGTATTTGTTTCCTAAGCAACTGGTGATGACTTACTTGGCCCGGAATTTGATTATCTCCTTTAAAATAATATAAACGTAAAGTCCTTGAGCATAATACACAGCCCTAGCTTAATGTTAGTTTTGATAGGAATTGTTCATGTTACAACCACCTGCGGATAACATGGCTTTAAATAATTATTTTACTATTATTTTTTTTAATCATTTTCTAGCTAAGTCTGGTCGTCAAGTGGCAGCTGGTCGGTGATAATAATGTCGTCATAGCATGTGTTCTCTTTCCTATCACCATCGATGGTACAGATACCGAACCATTACCAACCATTAACAAACCATTACCAACCATTAACAAACCATTACCAGCCATTAACAACAATTCAAAATTATACAAACCGCCTTTTATTTCCAACAAATCAAACAATCCAAGCATCAAATCTTCTACAAAATCTAACAACCATTCCTTTGTTTAAATTTGTATATTTCACGCTTCTTAATCTAATCATTATCATCTAATTTACATTCAGTTTGTCTTACATATCTTACAGACCCTTGGACCGAACCTTGTGGGACACCCCCCCTTACTCTCTATATTACCATTAGAACAGCAGCGTATATCGATTCAGATACTTTCCCATATAACTGTCTTAACAAACCAAAGCAATGTTATGTTGTTGGTATTTGTATTTTGTGCCCTATACTGTCCGAAAATCTGTATTTGCAACTTCACATGACACAAAACAACCATTGTTGCTCATTTGACGACCTATGATACCCAACATGACTACGAGTATATATAGATATATGACTGCTTGTCGTTTTGAGAATTCAACACGCACACAACAAAATTCTTCTATTTAATTATTTTTATTTGCAATTTTGATTTCACATGATCGACAAATTTCTGAAGTTCTTGTTCAATGATTTTAAACAAAATGGAAGCTACATCTTAAACTGAAGTGGTAAATTAAAAACTGTTGTTTTACTGTTTTGATAATTTTGTGATTTTTTATTTGTAATAAAAAGTTTTATTGATGGATTATTATAATAAAATGTAGCAGTAATCTTTAGAGGCATTTAGTAACTGGATAGAGCAATAAACTACAACACATACTTATGGAAAAACAGCTATTTATTTAGCTGTAGCAGGTTTTTTTTTTTATTTCAATCTGGTTTTTTTTTATATTTCTCAGTATTGTTGTTAAATACGATAGAAAAAAGTATATACAGTAAAATCCCATTGAACGACCAGTTGATTACCGGTAACTCTGGTACATGATCATATATGAAGACTGTATCCAATCAGGTATAATGAGAGAGGGGGAGGGACAATATGGCTCAGAGGGAGTGGGAGGAAGGGGGGCGGGGGGTAAACGTCTACTAGGGAGTAACATATCTTTTTATATCGTTTTATTTTAACAGTGGGAGGAAACCAGGGGCCACCATTCACAAGAAAAATTTATATAGGTCCCACCACTGGTCTCAATATCGGGATTTAACTGTAGACTGTTTACATAATCTATTATCAAAAATGTCTGGATTATAATTGGGAAGTAAGGTCTCCCTTGTCTGTCTCTGATCTGTGTGGGATTTCACTATACCTAACTAATTATAAAGATCTCGACTACCTTACTCCAACTACCAGTAGTTAAATTACAGATGTGACGTCACCCTTGGATGTTGGCGTACCATTATTTCAAATAATCGTACGGGCAACTTGCCAATCGTACTAGTGAAATATCGGACGTATTTCACTGTAAAAGCACGTGCGGGGTGTCTGTATTTTAAGTCGTTTAATGACCTCGAGCTTCAAACATTGCGTAATATTTTGTTAAAACACTTGGGCCTACGGCCCTCTTGTTGTTACTATATATTACTTTATGTCTCGTTCTCGCCCATTAAACAATACGTACTGTAATCCATGAAAGGTATTTAGTAACCGGAGAGCCACGGTGGCAAGGTGGTTAAGACGCTGGCTCGCTAGCCTGGAGGTCGGGTGTTCGATCCCTGGTTTGGCCGAGAAAGTTCATCTTGATTTCCGACGTGGTTTCCCATTTTCAGTGGTGCAGAACGGAGGGCCTGACAAGGACAGCTGTCTAGTCCTTCGGATGAGACGAAAAACCGAGTTCTCTTGTATACATTTGAATGCACGTAAAAGATCCCTTGGCAGTTGGAATTCGATATAAGAGTAGGCGAAAGTGCCGCTGACCGGGCAAAATTTCCCTCATAGCACACTGTATGGCGTATGCCCGTCTTCATTAGCCCAGGTTAGGAGCAGAACAGTAGGACGTTAAACCCCATTTCATTTCATTTCATTTCATTTCATTAGTCCAGTATAGGAGTAGGACGTTAAACACAATTTCATTTCATTTCATTTGTATTTAATAACCGGAGAGGACAATAACCTAAAACACATAATATGTATGGGCGATGGCTTAGCTGAGCACAGCGATTTTGTGATACCAGGGGTCAACTCCTTGTATGCATGCTCCCAAGACTCACCCGGGGTCAAACCCTTGAACGCATGCTCGAGTGTAGGGGCCAGCTTGGCCGGGTGTAGAAAATGCGGTGGTGTAATTTACTAGGCCCGTCTTCATTAGCGCAGTCGAAGCAGAACAGTAGGACATTCGACCCCATTGTATTTGATTTCCGCTGGTAGACAGGAGAACACAGGAGTATTAATTTGAAAAAAAAACCCAACAAAAATCTATCTACACCTGAAGGTTATTGTCGGCCAGAAAGTATAAGTCCGTTCTAACAAAACCACTAGGACGGACTCCAAGACAATAGGAAGATAAATATATATTGAAACGGTTTATTTTTTGTAGGGTTGTCGTTCTTAACTCGTGATTTGAACAGGTATCACAAAACAAACCAAATCGTTGCCAGCTTGATCTTTAACCTCCCACTGTACAACTAATTGAATCTGAAATCGAATAAAATGAAATGAGAGGGAGAGATGGGGTTTAACGTCCACTCAACACAAACTAGGTCATTTCGGGACTAACATATGGTTTAATTGTATTTCAACAATTCGCCTGTGCGTAGGGGTCATTAGCAGTGGGAGGAAACCGGAGGACCCGGAGAAAACCCACAAGGTTGGACAGGCGACCCTACTCCTTGACACGTACAACCGGGGAATCGAAACCACGCCAGCTGACTCAATGACGCGATACTTCCGGAATGGAAAGAAAAATCGTGGTGCGCTGAATATCGATAGGGTCCGTTCTCTCATGGCCCCAATGCATCCTGCCAAATTGTAAAACAATTCATTCAAAATTATAGTCCATATTATAGCCTTAAGGATTTTGGGAAAGGATGCTTATCTCTCATAAGCGTACGGGCTCGATGACAGTCAGGGGGCAGAGCCCGAAATGCCCGAAAAAAATTCCGGTTAAGAGACTGCGGCGCCGGTCTTCCTCGAGAGGCGAAGAAGCGGAGCTTACCTTGTAAGCCCCGGCCCCGCCCCCAACCTCCCCAAGAAAATTTTGGAATATTTGACGGCTGCAAACACGTTTTCCTGGTCTAATATAGCCTAATTAAGGTGGCTGCCCCCCTGCCCCCTGACTCGTATGCCTATGATAACTTTGGTATTGTAGGTCGCGTAACGATAGGGCTTGTCCTCTCGTGACCACAATGGCTTTACACCAAATTTGAAAAAATGCGTTCACAGGTCAATTGTTGACCAGCAGGCCGACCAGCGTGACGACCTAATGAGTATAAACTACAATTCTAACTATGAGTTAATTGCCAGGAAATAATTTACAGATCGACTGCCCAACCTTGTGGGTCTTCTCTGGTGCCCAGGCCCCCCCCCCCTCACCCACTGCTAATAAAAACCCTACGCGCAAGCGAATTTTAGGTCAGTTCGATAATGACCCAGTTTGTGTAAAGCGGATGTTTATCCCCATGTCTCGCTATAAATAAATTTCTTGTCTATTACTTATTTTAAAGAGTCTTCGCTAGACAAAGTTAGTATACACACCTCGGGATAGACGGGTTGAACGAAGACAACGTTAGTATAAGATACTGAAGCGCCACTAGCAATGGGACAGGCCATATTTTTGCAAGCATCAGATGGGACGGGAAATGGAACTCGTACACCAGCAATAATACCATGTACTACCGTAGTTGCACCAGTCACAGCTTCATCTGGAAGTATACAAGCTTAGTTCAATTCTATTACACTACACCCAGCTAAAATAATAATAATAATACAGCCAGCTATAATAATAATAATAATAATAATAATAATACAGTACACCAGCTATAATAATAATAATAATAACAACAATAACAATAATAACAACAACAATAATAATAATAATAATAACAGATTTATACAGCGCGTAATTACACTAAAGTTTCTAATAAGCTTCCGATTAACTAACGCTATGCAAGAACTAACTATTGAATGGGTGCGTTTTCAACTCACAAAGCATTCTTAGACTTAAAGGAGCTCAATCGCTAATATTTGGAACCTAGAAATTGACACAAATGGGTCGCATCGCATATAATAATGTAATATGAATGTATATAAACTGATTTACATTCAACCGTTTCTGTTTTGCTCTAATTTCAAATCAGTTATGTTCGGTGAAATACGCCAGAAGTGTCAGTGGCAATCTCTAGGGTCTGGTTATTCCAGTCTACACCGATAGTATTTATTGTGCATGCTCTCCAGATAAGAATATGGCCTAACCGTTTGTCATACTTGTGGAATAGGTCTAGCCCCGTTCTTCGAGTCCCTATTACAAATGGCGCTGAAACGCATTATGGTACGTGATTCGTGTACCAATGGTAAAATGTTTATTTTGTCTTTAATATTGGATATCAGAAGCCCGTCTTTTCACAATAAGATCACAAGATCAATGTTGATTTAAATTGACAAATAATTCGTGCTTTCAATGTTGAAGACTTTAGATGGTATTGGGAAAGAGACTTAGCTACTTTAAGTTAAGAATATATTCAAATTGTTTGTCTTATTTTAACTAAAACATAGCCCTTTATAAAACTTTTCCTTATTTTAATGTATCAAATACATCAATCAGAAACTATGTGCAAAGTTTTTTGTTTGTGGACCAAAGATATTTGTCATAAATAGTGATTGAAAGTTGAGTAAATTCTTAAGTCTGATAATTCTTCGTGAACTTAGGCCCAGGTATCATTCAATCTTGAGTATTCAGCCCTAATTTCTTTCATATTCATTCGATACGCTAAAGTGAATGATACCTGGGTTACAATGTATGTTGAATAAAGAGGTGCCGCAAGGATATGCTGACATGAAGACGTACCACGTGGATCTGTGTTCAAGTCATATGTGTATGTCTGCTGACAAGAAAGGGTACCCCAGGGATCTGTATTCGGGCCGTATCTTTATGACTGCAGACAAAAAGGGGTGCCGCAAGGAGCTCTATTTGGGCTATAACTGTATGTACCATCAATAAATAACCATCTAAGAACAAAACATCACTTACTAGCTTTAAAGTTAATAGTTACGGAGATGTTGGTACCTCGTCGAAACTGACATGGCTCCGTTGCACATGATGAAACATCGATCGAATTAATCGATCCTTTTACAGAACCTAAAAATAGAACATAGATAATGAACCAGGTCCTTCCTCTGTGTGTGTGTGAAAACAAGTCAAATTGTAAAAAAGGGTCCCGATCCTTCTAACAAGGCAAATGTCAATGTGAAGCTTAGAGAGGATCCATAAATTCGAGGGTATCTATATAGAATTGAGAGAGAGATGGGGTTTAACGTCATTTCGGGACTAACATATGGTTTAATTTTATTTCAATAATTCGCTTGCGCATAGGGGTCTTTAGGAGTGGGAGGGACCCGGAGAAAACCCACGAGGTTGAACAGGCGACCCTACTCCTTGTCAGTACAACCGGGGAATCGAAACCCCGCCAGTTGACTCAATGACAGACTTTATGGTACAGCGCGCACGTGCTAACCACCCCCCCCCACCCCCGAATGAGAAAGAGACATATATATAAAGATAGTTTGGTCAACTGCGGCATTGGTTGCCATTAAGTTATCCAATCTGTAAGTGTTAGTTAATTTGTTTATCGGGGGGGGGGGGGGCGGCATGGTTTTTCCCCTTGTCAGTGATGCAGGGCGGAGGGCCTGACAAGGACAGGTATCGACAAGTCGTTCGGATGGGACGAAAAAACGAGATCTCGTGTACACATTGGCGGGCACGTAAAAGATCCCTTGACAGTTGGAATTCGATATAAGAGTAGGCCGTAGCGCCGCTGTCCGGGCAAAATTTCCCTCATAGCACACTGTATGGCCTGTCTTCATTATACCAGTTCGGAGCAGAACAGTAGGACGTTAAACCCCATTTCATTTCATTTATCAGGGGGTGGAGGTGGGGGTAATGTTCGCTTCTTCCACTGATGTCACAGGCACAACTTTATTTTAGTTAATTATGTGTGGGATAAACCTGAGTAAACCTCCGATCTCCAAGCCACATACGCTCATCGAAACCAACTGGATCGACTACCTAGAACCAGCTAGAGCTCGAAGTGCGACATTCTAGATCACTACGCTCATCGAAACCAACTGGATCGACTACCTAGAACCAGCTAGAGCTCGAAGAAGTGCGACATTCTAGATCACTACGCCATCCCAATCCCCTTAGTTTAAGTGTTAGTTTGTCCGTTTGTCAGTCTACAACATACAGAATTGACAGAATTGTAATCAAATGATACGGAATTCAGTCCTGTCACAGTTCTGTCAGTCCAGACAGTTGAGGTGACGTGAGTAGAATTTTGAAGTATTTTAAGTGACAAATATGTTTCAGCCGTCATGAGATATTTTTTATACAGTCGGCACATGCGTTGTACTCCAGAATTCCCCGTTTCACACAATTGACTATATTTTTTGAATTGAGACAGTTCAATTCCGGAACGTTCCATCGATTATCCCCATATAGTTTGTCAGGGTCGATAACTGTGTATTTGAAAAGCACTGCACTTAAGCAAACAAAAACCAATTTGATACAATGAAATGAAATGAAATGGGGTTTAACGACCTACTGTTCTGCTCCTAAACTGGGCTAATGAAGACGGGCATACGCCATACAGTGTGCTATGAGGGAAATTTTGCCCGGGCAGCCCGCTACGGCCTACTCTTATATCGAATTCCAACTGCCAAGGGATCTATTTCGTGCACGCCAATATGTACACGGGACCTCGGTTTTTCGTCCCATCCGAGCGACTAGACAGCTGTCTTTGTCAGGCCCTCCGTCCTGCATCACTGACAAGGTGAAACCACGCCGGAAAATCTGGATGAACTTTCTCGGCCAATGGAGGGATCGAACACCCGACCTCCAGGCTAGCGAGCCAGTGTCTTACCCACTTAGCCACGTGACCCCCCTCCCCCAATTTGTTACCCAATGGGTCACGCCATCATGTTGATTCTCCAAAACGTACTCTACCGAGTATATACAGTTCTTGTTTCGTGACCGTTAAGTAGTCTTGGCACTATTTTTATTTTTATAGATAACATTGACGCTAGAACCAGGGTAAGGTCGCCTTATCGGTTAAAACTGGAGTAAATGTTGAACTTTCATAATGTATAACAATTCTGGTCCCTTATTCACGAAAACTTAAACTAAGTTACAACCGAAATTTTAAGAAATACTGCAACTTCATGGGATATATGCAAATTGATTTTACTGGTCAGCCAATCGAATTGCAGTATTTCTTAAAATTTCGATTTTATCTTAGTTTAAGTTTTCGTGAATAAGGGCCCTGGTCCCCAGTTGCTATTTTACAAGACCGGATCGGAATTGATGGGGGCGACAAGAAAAGTACGACAAGGCACACGAGTGTACATGTTAATGCGCACGAAGGACAACTGGAATTCGAAGAACGCTATCTGGGCAAAATCCACCCAAAACAATCCTAAGGTCAGATCTGTTATCGATACAAGTGAACGGGTCGATTGCGCGTCTTTACACAACAAGTTAAGTCATCTCGTGTCTCACCTCGTGTGATGATCGTTTTTACGATGTACTGTACATTAATTGTTCAAAGCGCGATAATAGCATTATAGAATCCCTTGCAAGTGAAAGAGAGAGAGAGAAATGGGGTTTAACGTCCACTCGACACAAACTAGGTCATTTCGGGACTAACATATGGTTTAATTCTATTTCAATAATTCGCTTGCGCGTAGGGGTCTTTAGCAGTGGGAGGAAACCGGAGGACCCGGGGAAAACCCACGAGGTTGAGCAGGCGACCCTACTTCTCCTTGCAAGTGAAAGTGGGGTCTCTAATTATCTGTCCTAAAATGGTTCAATTTCGTTCAGTAATTACAAAAATATGACGAATTAAAAACTCCATGGATGATCTGTTCTACCCTCCCCCTTCCCCCATGTAACGAAGACAGTCGCCATCTTCATTTTCAGTGATCCAAATTAACTTAGTGACTTTATAGGCCAAGTCTTCCTTTAGAAATATGAAGCCACTCTGGCTGAATGGGTAAGACGCCGACTAGCTTGTCTGGAGTTCACGTGTTCGATCCCGGCATTGGCGAGGAATGATCCTCGGGACTTTTCGACGTGGTTCCCCCTTGTCAGCGGTGCAGGACGGTGGGTCTGACAAGGACAGGTGTCTAGTCATAAGTATCTTGTAATTATGGCAAAATATTCAGATTACCACGTGATTATCTTTTGATTACAACACAATATTCAGATAACAAACAATATTGCCACTTTAACGGCCAAGATAAGAATTTAATTTTTTTAGGACTTTTGTCAAGAGTGCAAACATGAGTACAGTTGATTGAGAATCTAGGATTAGTGTAAATAAGAAATGCAGATAACAAAACTTCCAGGTGTGCGGACTTCTCGGTGATTGGCGTAGGTGTAATACCGGCATACGGGTGTAAAATTGTCGAATAGATCTGACTGGCAGAGGTATAAGATAGGCGTTCAAAAATGTAAAACACTTTGTTGCCCGAATTTATGAACCACAATTGCGTGATAATCTGTTGCAATTGTTCGCAAAACACCAGGAAGCCGGGGTAGTGTCCTTACTGCGCTGCTACGGCGACGGAAAATGGTTCCAGAGCGCGTCAAGATCGCCACAAGCGTTGTAAAAGCGTAGTGGAAACGTCAAATATCGTGCTGTGGTCTCCATGGTCGCCAATGATGGCCGAGTCACGGCGTTTGTTTTGAGCATGTTCAAAACAAACGCCAAGGTTCTGAGATCTGACCTGGAAATCTGTAAGAACGCGACTTTTTTTCAAGTTTTTACTACTTGGGGACATTTTCGTGTGTTGTGTTTACGTTTGCCGGCGATCTTGTGCATTTTCTGGTCGCTGTACGGTCGCAGCAGCGCAGAAGGACGCCATCCCGGTCTGAAGGGGGCATAAAAAATTTGTAGTCCCCCCCCCCTTGTCAATGGTGCAAGACCAGTGCCGGATTTAGATGACGGGGTGTCCAAGGATATTCCATGTGGCCCTTCCCAATCGTCACCCTTACGGTTAGAGTAAGTGTATTTTAAACACCATTGAGCAACGCCGGGGATGTTGACGGAAGTTTAAGACTTTGGCGTCCCAGACTTCTTTCTGTCTGTCAGGCAAATGTGACTCTATTAATACAATACTGCATTACAGTGTAGTTTTACGTGAAACATGAAATTTGATCTTATCTTATTAGTGACAGATAACGATATTTATAAATCTAGAGTATGGCGACAGAGTGTGGGTGTAGGCTAATAAACTGTTAAACTAATTCAAACGATCTTTGACTTCAGATTTAAATTTTAAATAAGACCAAAGGTACGTCGAGCTTTATTGTAAACAATAGACACGAATATAAACCTCTTTCATTTAGGGTCAACATAAAGTATTGAGTTGTGTATTCGATTAATGACAGGGGATAGAAATGGGGTTTAACTTCCACTCGGCACAAACTATGTTATTTCGGGACTAACATATGGTTCAATTTTATGTCAATAATTCACTTGCGCGTTGGGTTATGTAGCAATGGGGGGGGGGGGGCATGGGCCGGCGCAGGCCGTATGATTTAAAGCGCACATTTTTGACCATGTGCACCCCCACAATTATTGACAATATGGGAAAAGCTCTACGTTTTGTACATTCAGAGCTGAGCTACGGTTTATATGACATCCTCAACGCAATGGAAACAGCAGTGGATATTGATGATGAATCATTTCCGTTTCCGGTGAAGAGATATCGTGAGATTGACCAACTGTCTTACTTCAGTACAATGCCGGCACTTTTAATTAAATGAAGTAGGACAATTCACTAGTAGACTTAACCTTATATCAGACCCTTTATCATGGTCGGGGACTCCTCCCAAGACTCTCGGCGATAATTTTCCGTGTTAGAATCCCAGGGTGGGAGATATCATGGTTGGGGTACAGCTAACATTGGTGTCCTCTCAATCGTTGTTGGGGACTCCAGTACACTAATGGGACCGAGAAGAACCGTTCGGTGTTTTATTAAGCCCGACAATCACGTATGAGGGTTGGCTGCTGTAGTAAACATCATATGTTTGTCTCAAAATGGCGAAAGTATACTGTTGATGAAACATTAGACCCCATACCATACACATTCGATATATGATTACATCTACATAAAAAGAAATGAAATGGGGTTTAACGTCCTATTGTTCTTCTCCTATGCTGGGCTAATGAAGACGGGCATACGCCATACAGTGTGCTATGAGGGAAATTTTGCCCGGGCAGCAACACTATCGCCTACTCTTATATCGAATTCCAACTGCCAAGGGATCTTTTACGTGCATTCCAATGTATACACGGGGCCTCGGTTTTTCGTCTCATCCGAAGGACTAGACAGCTGCCCTTGTCAAGCCCTCCGTCCTGCATCACTGACAAGGGGAAACCACGCCAGAAAATCTGGATGAACTTTCTCGGCCAATGCAGGGATCAAACACCCGACCTCAAGGCTATATAAAAAGACAGGACTGTGCATAAATATATAGAACCGGAACAGTCTACCATTTCGTGAGAATAAGTTTCAGTTGATCCGTTTATCAAAAAGAGAAATTATAAAACGTCCTTACCACAATCTTTGTAGACTACCGGGGTAGCAGAGATCGCAAGAACCAAAACGGTGAAGATGGCGTAGGACAGCATGTTGATGGATCGACCGGTTGACGTTAAAAGAGAGATATTCAGATAGAATGGACGACACGACAGGTGTTAAAACTTCACCAGAAATAAGATGTAGAGATAAGGTAAGATAGAGGGTTTAAATATTCTCTCGTGTGATTATATACAACTATACAACTTAAAGGTACGCTATCGCTCAATTCAAAATCTTTAAATTTGTCTTGTTGTGGGTTCATTTTATGTTGTAGGTTCATTTTACTAATGACTAGCTTCATTTTGATATTGGTTAACATGAGAGAGAGAGAGATAGAGGGGGGGAGGGAGGGAGAGAGAGAGAGAGGGGGAGGGAGGGAGAGAGAGATAGAGGGGGAGGGAGGGAGAGAGAGAGAGAGAGAGAGAGAGGGGAGGGAGGGAGAGAGAGAGAGAGAGAGAGGGGAGGGAGGGAGAGAGAGAGAGAGGGGGAGGGAGGGAGAGAGAGAGGGGGTGAACGTCCACTCACCTGACATAAACTAGGTCATTTCGGGACTAACACATGGTTCAATTTTATTTCAATAATTCGCTTGCGCGTAGGAGACTTTAGCAGTGAGAGGAAACCGGAGGGCCAGGAAAAAAACCCACGAGGTTGGACAGGCGACCCTACTGCTTGTCACATACAACCGGGGATTCGAAATCACGCCAGTTGGCTCAATGACCTTATGATACAGCGCGCACGTGCTAACCACCCCCCCCCCCCCCCCCCCCCCGTTTAAAATGAAATGGAATCTAATGTCCCACTCTTCTTCACCAACTGAGATAATTACGATGGACATAAGTCACGCGTTTCCGACCACTATTCGTCGATTTCCAAATGCCAACGTTTACACTGGATCTCGATTTTCATCCCATCCAAACGTCTAGTCACCCGCGTAGCCAGTCTAGGGCAAAGGGTGGGGGATTATTAATACATGTCCAGCACTATGTTGAAAATGTCAGGTACTATTTCGTTAGTGCCTGACATTTTGTCACTCAGGTATATTTAAAGCCGTTATTTCAAGGCCTGTATAAATCTCATGAACAAAATACTTCGGTACTTGTTAATCTAACACACATTACACTGTATAAAACACTAAGGAAAAGAATTGGGTTGGGTGGAATGGTGTTTCCAGGCGGTGATATAGGGAGGCAAACAGAACAGCCAGAAAGTTTCCCGCGATGTAACTCAATTTTTTGAAAAATATCAATATGCACATTTTTTATCATTATGTTGTATAGTATTGGGTAGTATGTGATGATATTGGGGTGGAATTGGGTATTATTGGGTGATATTGGGTAATGGTAGTATTGGGTAGTATGTGATGATATTGGGGTGGTATTTGGTGTTATTGGGTGGGTGTTATTGGGTGTTATTGGGTAAATCGTCTCACCCGTGTTTTCTCCTACTCGTCAACTGTCAATGTGTACACGTGTCACACCGCCCAGGTACGAACCCGGGGACATAAGGAAAGGGTCCGGATAGCCTTATCGCACACCATTCTGGAGTCGTGTTCTGAACTGCTAGGTTCTCGCAGTACACAGCGCAACGCTTCACACATATAATGGGATAACTCTCTTTCAACTAGGGGATCACGGTGGCTACGTGGATAAGACGCTGGCTCGCTAGTCTGAAGGTCGGGTTTTCGATAACTGCATTGGCCGATAAAGTTCATCCCTATTTTCCGGCGTGGTTCCTCTCGTCAGTGATGCAGGACGGGGGGCCTGACAAGGACAGCTGTCTAGTCGTTCGGATGGGACGAAGAACAGCGGTTCCGTATACACATTGGCGTGCTCGTAAAAGATCCCTTGACAGGTGGAATTCGATATAAGCGTATGCCATAGTGCCGCTGTCCGGGCAAAATTTCCCTCATAGCACACTATATGGCTTGTGCCCAGTTCGGAGCAGAACAGTAGGACGTTAAACCCCATTTCATTTCATTTCTCTTTCAACTACTATGTGTCTTTAAAGTTAAAGCTCGTTAAAATTAAAACAAACATTTTTAAACCTGGTATTAAAGCGTTAAGCTAGGTTGTTTGTCTATCGTCACTATCAGTCAATACGCCTGTCTAACTGACATGTCTTATAATGGCTAATTTTAAACAATTAGACAGAAAATAGAAACTGTTCTTTTCAATTTATTTTCTTCCTTTTTTTTCAGACAAAAATTCACGATTCAGTTTCCCCTTGTCAAGGGCAGTTGATAGTTGTTCGAATCCTGGACAGTTGATAGTTGTTCGAATCCTGGACAGTTGAAATTCAGAATTTGGAATAAGAGTAGGCCGTACGGATCTTAATTCCAATATTATGATCGTACGTATGGGGGTGGGGGGTAGAGAAATGGGGTTTTAACGTCCACTCGACACAAACTAGGGAGGAAACCGGAGGACCCGGAAAAAACCCACGAGGTTGGACAGGCGACCCTACTCCTTGCCACGTACAACCGGGAAATCGAAACCACGGCAGTTGACTCAATGACAGACGTTATGATACAGTGCGCACGTGCTAACCATCCTACCCCTGGTATGGGGAGAGGGGGTGGGGTGGGACGTTAGATGTGTAAGGGAATAAGGGAATTAGTAAAATTAATAAACCTGGCGGAAACTCACGAGGTTAGCCTGACAAGTCTAGTTCTTAACACATACAAGCCAGAGGTCCAAACGTTGCAATATTACAACGTGACTTCTATGAGGGAAGTATTGCATTACGATCACGAGAGATGAATAATAGGCCTTAACCCGATTAGATGGACGGATTGACTCATGTGACATGAATTCTATACATACATGTATGTTGCAATTTATGGCTATTTGAAAAAGACTCAGTAAACAAACATCCCTCGGAGCCACGGTGGTTGAGTGGGTAAGACACTGGCTCACTAGCCTGGAGGTCGCGTTGGCCGAGGAAGTTTATCGGGATTTTCCGGCATGTTGCAGGACGGCGAACCTGACAAGGACAGCTGTCTAGTCGTTCGGGACGAAAAACCGAGGTCCCGTGTATACATTGGTTAGCAGTTGGAATTCGATATTAGAGTAGGCCATAGTGCCGCTGCCCGGGCCAAATTCCTGGCGTATGCCCGTCTTCAGGTCCCTGAATTTGCCCCCCCCCCCACTTAACAGACACGTCCACTCTCACCGCGAAAAGTCCGACAAAATACAAATCAAACATATATTGTTAACCAAGATAGTGAATTTTTGAAGAAAAAAAAAACACATAGGGGCATGCACTCTACAGCTTGAAGGGTGTTTGTGCCCCCCCCCCCCCGTGTATCTGTGGTTTATACATGGAATTATGAAGATAGACAACGTTTCAAACTATACTCTTCAATTCAAGATGCTAATGTCCAGGTTAGTGGGTCAACGTCTTACTCACTGATTCACAGTGGCGTCACTTGCGCGTAAACGTTACGAGTCAATCATATGAGAGACCGTTACCTGTGTAAGACAATGGTATAGGCAGGTGTATCGCACATCTAATAATTAAATTAGTTAATTAGTCACTATCTCCTCATTATATTAGATATTATATAATTATCCGTTAAATGAAGGCTACTAATATACATGTATTATGACTTGTGAATGACTGTTAAATACTAAAGGTTGTTGATAACACCTTGATCGGTATATTTGAGAGAGAGAGAGAGAGAGCGAGAGAGAGAAAGAGAGAGAGAGAGAGATGGGGTTTAACGTCCACTCGACACAAACTAGGTCATTTCGGGACAAACATATGGAATAATTTTATTTCAATAATTCGCTTGCGCGTAGGGGTTTTTAGCAGTGGGAGGAAACCGGAGGACCCGGAGAAAACCCACGAGGTTGGACAGGCCGGTATATTTGATCTTAGGTAGAAACCTAACTCAGACCACAGGAGTCTGACCTTCTATCCATATAATATGCAGGCCTGGCAAGGACAGCTGCCTAGTCGTTCGGATGGGAAGAAAAACCGAGGTCCCGTGTACACATTGGCGTGCACGTAAAAGATCCCTTGACAGTTAGTATTCGATATAAGAGTAGGCCGCAGTGCCGCTGTCCGGGCAAAATTTCCCTCATAGCAAACTGTATGGCGTATGCCCGTCTTTATTACCCCAGTTCGGAGCAAAACAGTAGGACGTTAAACCCCATATTATTTTATTTCATTTTGTATAATATGCATACACCACGCACAATCAGACAATGTATAATAATATAATATAATATAAAAAATTTAATAACAAAATTTTAAAATAGGCTAAAGTGTGCGTTTTGTATTTTTTAATGCATAATATTAAACTTCACACGGTGAAGCACAATCAGGGGCGGCTAACTCGCTGCGGATCGTTTTGTGTGACGTCAGCGCGTGGTGTTGATGACAAAATAGAAATGGACGAAAATAATGTAAATATTGGAAACAAGTGGCTATGATACCGTTTTGTGGGAGTATTTATACAAATCAAAACGACTAGATTGAAGAAAAAACATATTTGAGTGAATCGGAAGAGGTTAAAGTGCCCGACATTATGAATTGTTGAATAAAACCAAGCCGAAGCGAGAGCAGGTAAAATCGAGACTTCAACGGCGCTATTGCACTTTCGTACCTCTACCAGTTCCCGTGGTCATAGGCACTTGAAATTTTCAGAGGATGTTAAGGGGGGCTAGCAATGACCACACACCAAATTTCAGCCAAATCGATAAATAACTTTTTATTTTACCGACCTTTTAATTTCTAACGAGAGAGAACTTCATCCGTTTGACGCCATTTGCTTTGTTTACTAATTAGACTTGAATAACAAGACACTAAGACGGAAACCGACTCGAATAACAAGACACTTAGACGGAAACCGACACACTGCACTAGCTGCCTAACACTGCAGTTCATAAAAATTAATATAATTTTCGTATACTTTAATTTTTGCGCGAAGCCACCATTTTCTATAAAATACTATTTGGTGTTGATCAGTGGATTGGCCTTTAGGTGTAAATATTGCCGTGACCTTGATTTTGACCTTGAGGCCAAACTTCCCATCCATATCGGGGCCTTTGCGTTTATGCTTGCCGTGGCCTTATTTCTTACTGTATTATCAAAGTTAATGTTCGAGGTGAAAGCAGAGATGACGTCCTTCAGAAAAGATAATTGGGTCAAAGTCGTAGGTCAAGGTCATGTTACAGAAAACTAAACTCAAATTTTTCAAAGTCATTTTTGGGACATTTGACCTTGACTTACGACCTTGACCCCGTAACCATTTTCGAAGGTTATCACATTGGCTTGAATCATGAACGTTTAACTTGGTCCTGTAACATGACCTTGACCTACGACTTTGACCCAATTATCTTTTCTGAATGACGCCGTCTCTGCTTTCACCTCGAACATTAACTTTGATAATACAGTAAGAAATAAGGTCACGGCACGCATAAACGCAAAGGGCCCGAGATGGATGGGAAGTTCGGACACTAGGTCAGGGTCAAGGTCACGGATGGTTAAAGGTGACTAGTGGAGGTCACCACGACCTTTCACATTGACCACGCCCATTGACTTCCTTTCGGACACGGCCCCTCTGCGTTTGACCCTTTTCTGACCGAGCAGTGTGTGGCAGAACCAAGGTAAACGTCCATGATTCAAGCCAAGATGATAGCCTTCGAAAACGGTTACGGGGTCAAGGTCGTAAGTCAAGGTCAAATGTTCAAAAAATGACTTTGAAAAGTTTGAGTTTAGTTTTCTGTATTATGACCTTGACCTACGACTTTGACCCAATTATCTTTTCTGAAGGACGTCGTCTCTGCTTTCACCTCGAACATTAACTTTGAAAATACAGTAAGAAATAAGGCCACGGCAATCATAAACGCAACGGCCCTGATATGGATGGGAAGTTAAGACTCAAGGTCAAAATCAAGGTCACGGCAATATTTACACCTAAAGGCCAATCCACTGATCAACACCAAATAGTATTTTATAGAACATGGTGGCTTCGCGCAAAAATTAAAGTATACGAAAATTATATTAATTTTTATGAACTGCAGAGATAGGCAGCTAGTGCAGTGTGTCGGTTTCCGTCTTAGTGTCTTGTTATTCGAGTCTAAATAGTAAACAAAGCAAATGGCGTCAAACAGATGAAGTTCTCTCTCGTTAGAAATTAAAAGGTCAGTAAAATAAAAAGTTATTGATGGATTCGGCTGAAATTTGATGTGTGGTCATTGCTAGTCCCCCTTAACATCCTCTAATAATTTCAAGTTCCTACGACCACGGGAACTGGTAGAGGTACGAAAGTGCAATAGCGCCGACTTCAACAGGCATTGCATTTCTGACAAAAATGAAAAAAATAATTTTGTCCAATTCGTCTAAAAAAAACAACCTTTTCTGCTGAACACTATATGGGGGGGGGACTAGCCATGGAGCGATGATGATCATGTTGTATGTGGCGGGTGGCTTTAACGGGCCGCCACGCCATCACTGGAGTCTGGAATGGGCTGTTATAATAGACTTTCTTGGCCGGGTGTGCTGGGTGTGGGCCGGAATTCGGAATCCTGCAATGGGGATTCCGAATTTTATCCGAAAATTTCATCGGATTCACCCAACACTGTCGCCCGCAAATTTACTAATTATTTAGTCACCTGCTCCGTGTTTGTGGGGATACGCCAGAAACGTCTGCTGGTGGTTCGTAACTCCAAAAAAATTCAATTTTAAGGCCTGAGCAAAATTTTGATGATAGCTGGTCTGCTGGCTGAATATGAGTGCGAGACGATTTCCTGAGGCTGGTGTTGATGTTTGTAAATTACTTGCAGGTCGTGGTTTTGGCGTAAATTAATCGATTTATGAGATATATTATTTGACAGAGATTATAATCAGATATGCTACCAAATCGCATATTTGGGGTTCATTTTTCAAAATTTTCTAGGACTCCGCGGTCAGTAAAAGGGGCCGCTCCAACACGGGAGCCCGGACCGGTTCCCGGCCCCAATCCGCCCCTGGCCGTAATGACTACAATATGATTAGTTACTATACTTGTCACGTTGAACTGTGTGTTTAACGTTACAATTGATACAGTCTAAGAATCCTTACGCAAGTTCAAATAGGTTCAAACGCACAATTGTCAACATATATCATTACAGTTTGTATTGGAATAAGTAATTCTATGACAAATATTGAAGACTGGACCACTAAAATAGTTACCGAACAGTTTTTCTTTATGGTTATGCGTTCTACATTTGCATAGCGATGTTTCTTGTAATGGCGTATTACACAAGCCGCCATGACACCAGCCGGTTGAAATTTCAGGTAGCAGTTGGGTTTCATCAAATCATATAATTATGCGGTAAGGCTTCACCTTTATTCCAATAGGAATTGATTTATTATATGTTAAGCTAGGTGCAGTACTGTTTTGGATCAGTTTATGTGTAAATTAAGGGAGCTATAGGCCAGTAACCTTTTTGTAGTGATTTCACTAAAAAGACTTGCGCAAAGGAACTCCTGTAGGACGAGCCACTACTGTGGCTGAAGTAAGGCGGGAGACATCAGTAGTGGAACCATTTCTACAATATGATATGTTATGTTCCTGTGAGCTGTATTGTTTGTTACACATGTAATGACATTTAATGTTTGTTCCTGCATTAAATGGCCAACACTACATGAAGATCTGACCGGTTGTAGCGATAGGTCGCGTCAGACGTTATACGAGCGGCTTTTGACCCTATCACGTCAGACATTTGATTAACCAATAAGCATTGATGTTATTAGTGGATTACCCACAGTTGCGTGCAATACACACCTAAAGCTCGCCGTAACAGATTGTTTCATTGGCTAATTCCTCACACCATTCAGAACACGTCAACGATAACAACTCTTCAAGATCCTGGTGTAGTAAAGACAAGTAAAACGAAATTTTGAACTATATAAACGAAACGAAATAGGATCTGTGTTTTAATCAGATTAAGAAAACAACGTGATATTATTTAAATACTTAGCTTTATTCAACATCACAGCCATTTAAACTTTTTAACTTAACAAAAAGTACATTTGTTTCCTTTTAAAATATCGTCAGTCTTCCCGCTCATATCTGTGTTTAAGTATTTTTACGGTGACAAATCTACAAGTGAAAACCTATGAAGATAGAAACATCACCCAGCCTGGTTGCTTCATTCAGCATTAAAGAAAACGTGTAAAAGGAGCTAATATTTGGGACCTAGAAATTGACACGAATGGGTCGCAACGCATATAATAATGTAATATGAATGTATATAAACTGATTTACATTCAATCGTTTCCGTTTTTACTCTAATTTCTAATCAGTTATGTTTGGCGAAAAACGCCAGAAGTCTCAATCGAATAGCATTCTCTAGCGCCTAGTTATTCCAGTCTACACTGACAGTATTGATTGCGCATGCTCTCCGGATAAGAGTATGATGTCACCGTTGGACATGACTTGTGGAATATGTCTCGCCTCGTTCTTCGAGTCCCGTGTTAAAAAATAGTACTGAAACGCACGCATCTCTCAATTACTGGAATGATGTTTATTTTCACACCGGAAGTGGGGGTGGGGGCAGACAGGAAGTGGGGGAGTTCAAGTCGGTTGGGTAGATCAGGTCAGTTGGTTAGGGCATTTACATACGGGAAGTTCAATTATCCGGAATTCGGCGTTAGAGTTGGTGTTACTAACCCCCTAACTGTACCTTTAACACCTCCCCCATGTGATGCCTAAATCGGCGTGCGAAGGTATCCGACCTCGTTAACTATAACGTCATTTCCGGAAGCTAGCAAATAGTTTCACCAGGGGCCTTAAAATTTCCGAAATTCATTAAAGCGATAATTTCATATTTTTAAGTTATATTTTTAAAATGTATTAAAATAAATCCTTAAAATAGATGGTATCTATAAACAGTCCTACCTTCTTAAAGAATAATCCTATTAATCCCATAATTCACGTTTGAAGATATCTATTCCACGGGGGGCGGGGTAGAAAAACAAGGGGGGTAATTGTGTTATTATTTCCGGGGGTGAATGATTTTTAAGTGTGAGAATGATACCTATGATCGTATAATAGTGAGTTGACAACGTACTGAGCAAAAGACATAGAAATGTTTTAACTTTCTTAGAAAATATGAAATTCTCGCTTTAAACGCCTCCATAACTGCCTCATTTCCGTAAGTAAACAAATATTTGAGCGTGTTGAATTGATTTTATCGTACAATTCGTAAATAATCTAGGGCACGTTTGTGAGTGCATGGAATCGTACTAGGAACAGGCTGTAACAACAAAATGGCGTCCATTCAACTGTCGAGTTTAACGATATTAAGGAAGTGTTCTTCCTGGTCACAGGACGGACAAATTGAAACTGCAACGGTGTCTTCCACCTTCCTCGTTTCCATTTTCTCTTTTGCCTCTTCCGTGATCCCTGTGGCTGTTTTCAGGTCTTCCACTGACTGTACACTGATGACATCCAGGAGCTGGTTTTCTGTCGTTCCGAGTGTTAGGTTGGCGATTGACGTAACCGTGGAGATGACAGTTGTGACAGTTATCGGCCCTGATTGACTCACGGTCACTCTCGGGGCATTCTCAACGGATCTCTGCTTCTTGTATTTCGATTTCCCACGCGCATGCTCCACAGGTCGACTCATTAGGCTCTTACTTCTACCGTGTTTCAATTTCTGTCTCTCGTGATTGCTAGCTTCTGCTCTTGCGTGGCGTATTTTGTGACTCACGACGGTTGGTTTGGGAGAACCAAACGTTTTACTTTTGAGGATGGCGGTTAACTTAACGGCTCTGACAAACTTAGACGTCACTTGAAGGAATCCCAAATCATTCTTATCATAGCCTTGCGCCATAAACCATTCAAAGGCGGTTCGGCCATTTTGTCTGTCACGTACTGTTCGATGTGCGCGTCCCTGAATGGCTAATATTTTGGCGCATGTCAAATGCGAGTTCCGGGCGGATTCAAGTAATGCAGAGAAGCCTTCGTTGTTTATATGGTCGACCTTTAACCCCAGCCTTCGAAAGCATTTGATAAGAATTTCAATGGCCACATCGTTTCCTTCTTTTGCACAGTAAATCAGAGGCGTGTTTCCTGAAGAAGACAGAAAAAAATATATTAAGAATATATTTATAGTGAATATTGGGAATTAACTTATTGATATTGTAGAATTCTGCCGGAGGGGGGAGAGAGAGAGAGAGAGAGAGTTTAACGTCCACTCGACACAAACTAGGTCATTTCGGGACTAACACATGGTTCAATTTTTATTTCAATAATTCGCTTGCGCGTAGTGGTCGTTTGCAGTGGGGGGAGGGGGCATGGTCCGGCGACCCTATGCCTTGTCACGTACAAGCGGTCGCTTGGCTCAATGACAGGCCTTATGATCTAACCGAAGTACCCAGAGAAAACCCACGAGGTTGGACAGCAGAAACCCGGAGGACCCAGAAAAAAAACTGAGGTTGAACAGGCCACCCTACGCCTTGTCACGTACAACCGGGGAATCCAAACCCCGCCAGTTGACTCAATGACAGACCTTATGATACAATGCGCACGTGCTAACCATTCGGCCATCCAACCTCCCGAATTCTGTTCAACTACCGTGGTTTCGATTCCCGGGGAAATTTGGGAAGTTTGATAGCCGCAAAATCGTTTTTTTGCTATTCCAGCCCATGAATATGGCAACTTCAAAGTGATCTAATATACACTAACTTAGGTGGCTGACTCGAATACCAATTAATCGTTTACAGTCCACTGAGACGGGACCGTCGGGCGAAAATGTTGAGAATTTAACTGCGGCAAATGGGGTTTTCTGCTATTCTGACCCGTGGGTTAAGCACTTTTAAAGTTGTCCATTCGCTTTGCAACCGAAATCCCACTCTATGACCACCCGAATTCCAATCATCCAGTCAGGTTGTTGCATCTGCATTAACAAATAATAATCGATGCCCGAAAAATGCCGCACAAAGTAGAGTGGCCCCAGAAATGAAATGAAATGAAATGAAATGAAATGGGGTTTAAAGGAGCTAAGTCGCTAATATTTGGGACCTAGAAATTGACACAAATGGGTCGCAATGCATACAATAATGTAATATGAATGTAGTATATAAATTGATTTACATTCAATCGTTTCTGTTTTTACTGTAATTTCTAATCAGTTAGGTTCGGCGAATTACGCCAATATTATCAATCGAATTTCAATCTCTAGCGTCTGGTTATTTCAGTCTACGCCGATAATATTTATTGGGCATGTTCTCCAGATAAGAATATAGAGTCACCGTTTGACATGACTTATGGAATATGCCTAGCCTCGTTTTTCGAGACCCTTATTACAATTAGCGCTGAAACGCATTATGGTACACGATTCGTGTACCAATTGTAAAATGTTTATTATGTCTTAAATATTGGATATTAGAAGGCCATCTTTTCCCGGTAAGATCACAACATCAATATTGATTTAAACCGACAAATAAATCGTGTTTTCAATGTTAAAGATTTTGGATGATATTGAGTTAGAGACTTAGCTACTTTAAAGTCCTGCTGTTCTGTAATGGATAGTGTTGGGTAGTATTGGGTGCTATTGGGTAAACCGTCCTACCGACCCTACTTCTAGTCAGGGCGTGTACGTACAAATTATTGTATTTGTGTGACGTAACGTGTATTTTTGTGACGTATTATATTTACCTTTTTTATCGACAGTATCCGGATCTATATTATATATATGTATCAACATATTTACTATGTCATTACATCGGTTCTCACAGGCGTAACTCAGAGCTGTTCTACCATCGGCGTCTCTCAGATTCACATCGGCATGCTTATCTAGCAGAAGTCGCACCAGTTGGGCACGAGTTCTCTCCTCCTGAATGAATAACAAAAGTAATGAAATGAAATGAAATGGGGTTTAACGTCCTACTGTTCTGCTCCTATACTGGGCTAATGAAGACGGGCATACGCCATACAGTGTGCTATGAGGGAAATTTTGCCCGGACAGCGGCACTACGGCATACTCTTATATCGAATTCCAACTGTCAAGGGATCTTTTACGTGCACGCCAATGTGTACACGGGACCTCGGTTTTTCGTCCCATCCGAACGACTAGACAGCTTTCCTTGTCAGCCCCTCCGTCTTGCATCATTGACAAGGGAGAACCACGCCGGAAAATCTGGATGAACTTTCTCGGCCAATGCAGGGATCGAACACCCGACCTCCAGGCTAGCGAGCCAGCGTCTTACCCACTTAACGTTCTGCTTTTCTGCACCAACCGGGCTAATGAAGATAGTAAGCTTTCAGGGACATTTTTGCCGGACAGTGATATTTTCTACACCCGACCCATGTTCCTGAAGCAACGACCGCGAGTTTTTACAACATCTAGACGTTGCTACACGTCTTTGTAATACTCTAATTCATAGCTACATTATCTCCCTTTACGGTAGACACGTGAACACGTAGCGTCTTATCAGAGGTTGTGACACAAACACATTCAAATCAAACATGGCGACCTCCATGGAAACCTCTACATTGAACGAACCTTGAAGTTTGCAACTCTGTTATCACAGGTTGACAGTTTAGCTGTAAAGCGCAAGACTTGGTAGTCGCGATCATCGAGGAATCTGATAGACTCTCAAGCTGGGTCAGTACCCATTCGAAATTGGTGATGCAGGGTATTGCGTGAAGGGTTTGGTAAGATGTACGGAATCAAAGCGAGATCAAAACCTGCTATTGAGGATGGGGGGTTGGATGGCCGAATGGTTAGCACGTGCGTGCTGTATCATAAGGGTTGGCGTGGTTTCGATTCCCCGGTTGTACGTGACAAAGCGTAGGGTTGTCTGTCCAACTTCGTGGGTTTTCTCCGGGTCCTCTGGTTTCCTCCCACTGCTAAAGACCCCTACGCATAAGCGAATTATTGCAATAAAATTGAACCATATGTTAGTTCCGAAAAAGGTCAACACATGGCAAACGAAGATGGCACAGTTTCTGTGAGAATATTGAATATAGCACTGGCAGGTTTTCTTTCCAATTCAATACCGTAATTGTCTACTAATCAAATTAATCCACGCAAATTCATTACTTATACCGAACTGAAGTACCAGGCAGATCCAGTTGTTGGACATGGTCTGTCATTATATTTGTCTTTAAAGTGGGATTGTGTCGTTTCGACGAGGCTTCTCCTGTCTTTATCAAGCTAAGAAAGATTGACTTTTTTGCTTGTTAAAGATGGGAGAACTAATGACGAACGGAACAAGCCATACAGTGCGGAAGAGTGGAATGAAATGGGGTTTAACGTCCTACTATTCTGCTGCTACTGGGCTAATGAAGAATGGCATACGCCATAAAATGTGCTAGAGTGGAATGAAATGGGGTTTAACGAAATGAAATGAAATGAAATGGGGTTTAACGTCCGACTGTTTTGCTCCGAACTGGGCTAATGAAGACGGGCATACGCCATACAGTGTGCTATGAGGGAAATTTTGCCCGGACAGCAGCACTAAGGTCTACTCTTATATCGAATTCCAACTGTCAAGGGATCTTTTACGTGCACGCCAATGTGTACACGGGACCTCCAGGCTAGCGAGCCAGTGTCTTACCCACTTAGCCACCGTGACCCCCCAAATGGGGTTTAACGTCCTACTGTTCTGCTCCTACTGGGCTAATGAAGACGCGCCATTGAAAAGTAGAAACAAGTTGAAAATCTTGGGTTAGTGAGCTAGCATCGTTTTCCCTGACCCTCAACAAAATCCAGGTGAAAGAAGAGTATATATAATCTTACCTTTAGCATACAGGTAAAAATAAGTGGCGTTTTCCCATCAGAATCCCTAGAATTCTGTAATTTACCTTCAGCGGCTTCAATAATAAATTTAGTCAGCCGGACTTTGCCTCTTTGAATAGCATGGAATAAGTGTTTCACGTCCGTTTTATCCGGTTTATCAAAACTTCTATAACTCGCGGACTTTCCGACATTTTCTAATGTAGGAGTCCCCTTCTTGTCGTCCATTCGTAGACGATTATACATGGTGCTTGAGTCTTCACCTTCTGAACTTTTATCAAGTTTTTTTTATCAAGCTGACAAGATCAACATATAATTATTACTTGTCTTTTGTTTTAAAAAAAATGAACTTTAAACATCCACTACACTAGAAATATTTACTTGGATTGAGTCCACTGTTGTTTTAAAAAAATAACTTTAAGCATCCACTACACTAGAAATATTTACTTGGATTGGGTCCACTGTTGTTTTTTTTTTCTGAACTTAAACTTTATCCGCACAATTTCGTTAATTGTTTTTAATATTATTTTTAAGTTAGCGAAAATGTTGCATTTTGTTAATGTACCATGTTCTTTTTAAATTTGTCTTGCTGTTCATTGTCTTTTAAAATAATATGACCCGGGTTTCGTACAATTCATCTCGTCTTCACAGATACAAAACATCAACAACCAGAACAAAATAAAGATTTATAGCACCTTGTTAAATTTCGATAAACCAAGGTTTGTTAAACAGTGATGTCTTACGCCTTGTCTTTAGGAATTTTCCAAAAACACAACAGTGCAAATGATCAAAATTTCTGTCATCTCTGTTCTAAAATACACCTTATACTAAAGTATCAACTCGCGGAGAATTGTAATGACACCCTGACGTAGATTCTAACATGACTGGTCTGACTCCACGTTGTTAATGTTGTTGTTCCATCTTGTCCGAGGCATTATATATATATATATATATATAGTGTGTGTCGTATTGACAAGCAATCCTTACTCTGTCTGCTAACGACAAAATAGATTTGTAATTAACCATAAGGGAATTCTGATGCCCACAATCGTGCGTAATATCGATCCGTAGATAACATTGTCAAGTCTTTCCAATCATCCAGATTGATCATGCAATTTGTGCCAATTTCATTTTCCGAGGAAATTTATCTCATAATTGTCAGCAATGGATTCAACTATAGGGCCAACGTTTTTGATAGATAGGTGTAATTATATAGTTTTCAGTATCGCATCAAGCAAGAGGGGGGAAATCCCGGATGTATCTTGATTTAAAAAAAAACTGGTAAATCGAGAAGATATAAACAAGATAAACTGTCTTTAAAATATAACAAGAGAAGTTCCTTTCTGCGTTGGAGTGACGTAATGTGTCGATGACGTAATTTGACATTCTCCAAGGATATTTCCAGAACTTCCAGACAGGAAAACATCTTGTATTGCGTCAAGTGATCGTTTACCAGTAGGAGAAAGTGATAAACATAAAACAGAAATAATGTCTTTTACGCATGTTAAACCTATAAACATAGGCGTCAGGGTGGGCTGGGGGCAATCCCAGTTGGGGCGAGAGGGTGGGGTTGGGGAGTCTGAGGCTATTTGTCCGAAAATTTAAAATTTTCTTTTGTCACCCGAATTTTCAGAATGATATATATATATATATATATGGTCTCATTCTCTGTGGCCGCAATACGAAAAAAACATTTCCCTAAAAATGGACGGTTCACCGAATCTACACCCTCCCCCTCCCGGCACCTACGCCTATGCCTAGAATTAATATGTTTACATACGTAAGGTCTACACAAGAAATGGAATGGGTTTATAGCATCCAACATTTCTGCAAAAACCATGCTGTTGAGGTTGGGCATACGACATGCAGTGTGCTATGAGGGAAAATTTGGCAACCACCAAGGTTTCATTTACGTCCCATCCAAATGATTAGTTGCTGTTCCTTTCTGCATCCCGACAGCCTTGCTCAATGATCAACCTTGGGTCCCAATTACAAAAGTACACTAGCAATAGGAAGTGGTAGCGGGTTTAATTCACAGAGAGAGAGAGAGAGAGAGAGAGAGAGAGAGAGAGAGAGAGAGAGAGAGAGAGAGAGAGAGAGAGAGAGAGACATGGGGTTTTACGTCCACTCGACACAACTTGGTCATTTCGGGACTAACACATGGTTCAATTTTAATTCAATAATTCGATTGCGCGTAGGGGTCTTACACAGTGGGGGGGGGGGGGAACCGGAGAAAACCCACGAGGTTGGACTAAGAAAAACCCCAACAAAAAACAGATCTGAGTCGCCACGCGCAGTATAATTCAGGTGTTGACTAAATTACGGTTATTGTTGAGCAAACGGTAATTATAGAATCTCGAATTAATTTATATTATACAGCCACTGCTGAAGCGAAGTGAATAGAACTCAATGGTACGATTTACGCCATAGATTTTGCGCTCTACTGCTACCCCGAGCTCCCCTCTATAGCGATATAAAATACTGTTGTTTGGAGGGGGGGGGGGGGTTGTGCCCCACAGAATCACACGCCTCAATTTAGCTTTTAAGATTTTAAGAATTCCAAAACAAAATATGTCAAAGATCTTGGCAATCGCTTGTTTTCCTGTCTGGCCCATATAGAACACAAACGTTAAAAAGCCTTTTGGATTGATCAATGCGACTACCGCGTTCAAATGTTTATCGGACACGGGAATTCGAAGTAATATTGATGCACGCAGTACAGTTAAATTAAATGATACAGCCATTTCACAGACATATAACAATTATTCGAAGAATGCCCCCAACGACTTTTAAGATCAACATAGATTTATGCAATATTAGCACGAATATCAACATAGATTTGGCAAAATACGTTTTACTTCTGGTGCAAGTAATCACATTGGAGAGGGTAGCCTAGCTGGCCGTCACCTATGGCTTTGGTCCCTGATGTGAACGTATGTAGCTTGGTGACAGGGACGCCTTCTGGACCTACTGGCTTTACTCCGGTTTCCTCCCACAGCAAAGACCCGGGCAATTGCGCTAAGATAATAAACATTTAAAAAAAACAACTTGTCTGCCATATGACCCTCGGTGGAAGCGGACTTCAAACACCACGAACAAGTAATCACCCAAATGCTGATTTTTGAATCACTTAGCCGGTTTCTCCGGCCAAAAAGTTTGCGTGTGTTTCTGAAGTTAATCTCTTATATAAATGAATCTTCTTCCTGGTGTTCGGCGGTAAACAGACAATATCAAGGTCACAAAGCTTATGTAATTAATTAAACAAATGGTTTGCCTTTTTGCCATTTGCAATGAAACTAATATGTAATTTGATTAGCGTGATCGTTTGGTTGGTACTTTAAATGTTTCAATTGCATAAAGTCACATTAATGTTTCTTGGAGGGATTTGAGCCACATAAAAATTCAATAGCAAACTATAATAATGATAAAAGTTGAATCTCTAATAAGAATATTAGTGAACACATGGTTCCGTTACAAAGATATGATCAACTGAAATTCCATCGATCTATCCTGCCTCTTATGAAAAATGGTACACTTTTCTCCTTTTTCTGAATATCATCTGTCAATAATAAAGTTCTACATTTCTTCGAAGTTGAGAGAGAGAGAGGAGAGAGAAATGGGGTTTAACGTCAACTCGACACAAACTAGGTCATTTCGGGACTAACATATGGTTCAATTTTATTTCAACAATTCGTTTGTGTTTAGGGGTCTTTAGCAGTGGGAGGAAACCGGGGGACCCGGAGAAAACCCACGAGGTTGGCCCGGGCGACTCTACTCCTTGTCACGTACAACAGGGGAATCGAAACCACGCCAGTTGACTCAATGACAGGCCTTATGATACAGCGCGCACACGCTAACCATTCGGCTACGCAACCCCCCTCTTTGAAGTTGAACTTACTACCACGTTGTAATCTAAAGACGGTTAATCGTCAGTTAGTTGTTTTTGTATTGTCGGATGAGGTCATGATATCACACACAGTTACTTTATTCCGTACGTAACTAACGTACGAAAATTAAATGGTTGCTGGCGGTTTTTTTCGCACGTATACCTTGAATGGCTATTTTGCTCAGTAATCCCAGCCAGAATTTGGCTATTTTTTAAAATTGCGTTAAAGTTTTAAATTTTTGTTTAGAACTGAAATAAATTAACTTTTAGTCAATCCCCACGTTAAAAACATTAACAGAATTGAAATAGACACGACCGAAGCACAAAATAGTGCGAATATGCCGATGTCAAATCTAGAGTTGTAGATGTTATTTTTGTGAAAAATCATTGGAAGAAGCGATAAGACGTTATGTACGAATTATACAGTCCTAAAGGCTGCAAGAAGGCTATTGTTTACAATGTAACATTGTGTCTTGTAACGTTGATAATGATCATAATGATGGTGTTTACATTTGTTTGTTGATGTGACCTCATGACCTGTGACGTTTAGATAAAGTCATATGGATATCATGGCTATTCACTGTGTCAGAGTCACTTCTCTGCAGGTAGGGTGAGTCTGTCGTTCAGATTGACTTTATTCATGTTTACAAGTAAATGGTAGACATGCAATCCGATTAGAATACAGATCTTTTTTTATACTTTCCATGGCCTGGACTACATGGAGATCTGACCTGTTGTAGTAAGGGTCGTATGAGAGGCTTTTGACCCTATGACGTCAGACATTGATTAACCAATCAGCGTTGACGTCTCTAGGGGTTTACCCACAATTACGTGCATCGCACGCCAAAAACTCGCCGTAGCAGACCGTTTCATTAGCTAATCCCTCACTTCAACCAGAACTCTTCCAGATCCTAGTGCAGTCAAGACAGGTAAAACGAAATTTTGAACTATAAAAAACGAAACGAATTAGGATCTGTGTTTAAACCTCCCACCCTCCCTTCTCACCAACTACCCTCCTTTCTAAACTTCAACCCTCCCTTATCACCAACTACCCTCAATTCTCACCATCTACCCTCCCCTTTTCACCATCTACCCTCCCCTTCTCACCAACTACCCTCCCTTCTCACCATCTACCCTCCCTTCTCACCTCCTACACTCCCTCCTACCCTCCCTTCTCACCAACTACCCTCCCTTCACACCAACTACCCTCAATTCTCACCATCAACCCTCCCCTTCTCACCATCTACCCTCCCCTTCTCACCAACTACCCTCCCTTCTCACCATCTACCCTCCCTTTTCACCTCCTACCCTCCCCTTCTTACCATCAACCCTCCTTTCCCTTCTTACTAATTACCCTCCCATTTCCCATTCTCACCTCCTACCCTCCCTTCTCACCAACTACCCTCTCTTCTCACCAACTACCCTCCCCTTCTCACCACCTACCCTCTCTTTTCATCACCTACCCTCCCTTTCTCTCCTCTTATGCTCCCTTCTCACCAACTACCCTCCCTTCTCACTCAATGACTCAATATTTTTTATTTGAAACATTCAGACAAGATAAATGGACCATGCCTTCAGATTTTGGACTTTGATTTGTATGCTAACGTTCATTTTTAATAACGGATATCCTGTGAAATATCCAATGATAAATACAATAAACAAGTATTTGACCTCAAATCGATAACATTTATTTTATTTTTTATTTTTCAAATCGATGTGGACTTTTCATAATTCTCTCTGTTTCTTGATGGGTTGTCCCTTTAACTTCCATATAAATCTTGACTAATACTTCTGGTAATAAAACTTTCAATAAATAATCCATATACTGAAATAAATAATCCATACAATCCATATACTGAAATAAATAATCCATATACTGAAATAAATAATCCATATACTGAAATAAATAATCCATATACTGAAATAATCCATATACTGAAATAATCCATATACTGAAATAAATAATCCATATACTGAAATAATCCATATACTGAAATAATCCATATACTGAAATAAATAATCCATATACTGAATAATCCTTATACTGAAATAAATAATCCATATACTGAATAATCCTTATACTGAAATAAATAATATCCTACATGTATACTGAAATAAATAATCCATATACTGAAATAAATAATCCATATACTGAATAATCCTTATACTGAAATAATCCATATACTGAAATAATCCATATACTGAAATAAATAATCCATACAATCCATATACTGAAATAAATAATCCATATACTGAAATAATCCATATACTGAAATAATCCATATACTGAATAATCCTTATACTGAAATAAATAATATCCTACATGTATACTGAAATAAATAATCCATATACTGAAATGAGCATGACTTATTGCCACCATCTTGGAATTGAGATGTCAATCAATGCACAATTGTCAAGATGAAAAGTTTTTATGCTGATTGCTTTAAAATTAGCAGAGCGTTAACGTTTTTTTCATATTGCATCTAGGATGACGAAAAATAATACAAATAAAATGGGGGTTGGACATCCTACTGTTCTGCTATTTTTCTCCTGTTTCCTTCCATTTCCCAGATTAATATATGTTTGTGTCCGATGTTTTACCATGTGTACTAAATCCTGTTTCTGTGAATTTTAACATCATGTTGTTTTATGGTTTAATGTTTCATAATTGTTATAATTTTATTCATTTCTAAAGACAGGGATTTAACATCTCATCAACGCGATACTTCTGTTAGTTTGTTGTATCTATATTTTAATTGTACATACTCACCTTGTGATGTTTTTTACAGAACATCTCCATCAATGTTTCCATGACAACATCATGTTGTTCATCAGTAAATAGTTCAAGATGAACTTGATAGTTTAAATTATCTATAAAATACAGTTTTAAAGGACAACATTAGTGTCAGTCATGAGCGCAAAAAGAAAAATAGAGTTATCCTTCTATATAACTGACTGAAGTGACAGTGATAACAGATACATGGGAGAATTTCTGCTCACTAATAATCCCTTCGAAGACCAAAAGTTGTTATATGGGATATCTGACAATTAAAAAAAGTTAAAGAACATGAAAGAAAAAGAAAAATAGTCAGTATTTTGAATTGTCGGATATCCTTGTGAATATCCTTGTAAACATCGAGGGTTTAACATCCAGTTAACCCAAACTAGGTCATTTCAGGACTAACATAGAAAACCTGAGGACCTGGAGAAACCCAATATGTTTGACAGATGACCCTACTCCTTGTCATGTACAAGCTGGGAATCAAAACCCCACCATTTGACTCAATGACAGACCTCATTAACTAAATCAATACCAATCAACACACCACAAATAAATATTATGTTGACTTACTTCTGTCCATTCCGCCTTTTTTATAATCTTGATGTCTTTCACAAACCACCTGCAAAAAAACAAAAAAAAAAACATATCAGATATGGGTACATGAAGATAAAGGTATTTTTATCTTCTTAAAGACTAAAGATAATATTAGAAGAATGTGGTCTTCGTTGTCCAAGAGGTAAAATTTGCCCTTGGATTAGATTGAACCTACAAATCATAAAAAGCTTTTGTAATTAAGGCCTGTGAAGAAGTTTTGATACACAAATTGGAGAGAGAGAGAGAGAGAGAGAGAGAGAGAGAGAGAGAGACTAGGTTCAATCTTATTTTATTTTTTTGCATGCAGGTACATGTTGCTAGGAAACCAGAGTACCCGGAGAAAACCCACGAGGTTGGACAGGTGACCCTACTCCTTGTCACGTACAACCAGCGAATCGAAAGCACGCCCTTTGACTCAATGACAGACCTTATGATAAAGCGTGCACGTGCTAACCATTCGGTCATCCAACCCCCCCAACAAATTGAAGGAAATATAAACACTAGGTAATAATTCGTAACATCTAGGAGTATATTGGGGGAGAAAAATGGTGGTGTTTAATTGTCATGGATGTACTGGTACACTTGTATTAGTCCGCAAATTTTAAAATAATCAGACATTTCCTTTCTTGAATAGGCCTATATACATCAAGGCTTTCACTTTCACTTCGGATTCGCAAAACTCCAATCTGATTAAAACACAGATCCTATTTCGTTTCGTTTCGTTTTTATAGTTCAAAATTTCATGTTACGTGTCTTTACTTCACTAGGATTTGGAAGAGTTGTTATATAACGCACGTTCTGGTTGAATTAGCCAATGAAACGGTCTGTTACGTCAAGTTTTTGGCGTGAGGTGCACGGAACTGTGGGTATTCCAGTAGAAATATCAGCGCTGATTAGTAAATCAAATGTCTGACGTGATAGGTCAAAAGCCGCTCGTATGACCCCTGACACGACCTTCAAGTACAACCGGTCAAATCTTCATGTAGTCGACGTCATCAAAAGTATAAAAAAACGAAATATAATATATATCTGTATTTGAATCAGATTGAGCTAGATATTTATTTTAAATAATATCAAAATATTTATCAATATTCCAATCTTATACATTAAAACAGATTATTGTCTTTAAAGGTTAAATTCTTTCAAATTGCGATCTTATGTGTTGTTAATTGGCTAGAATACCATCATATAATAGATAATATGTTATCATATAGAATTGTTTTAATCAGATTGATATTTATTGTGTGTTAAGGTTAAACTCTCTCAAATTCTAATATTATAACATTTAAATGGTCTTATATGATACCAACAGTTCGACTGGAACAGAGAGAGAGAGAGAGAGAGAGAGAGAGAGAGGAGAGAGAGAGAGAGAGGGGGAGAGGGTTTATCCACTCAACACAAACTAGGTCATTTTGGGACTAACATATGTGGTCTTTAGCAGTGGGATGTAACCGGAGGACCCAGAGAAAACCCACGAGGTTGGACAGGCGACCTTAATCCTTGTCACGTACAACCCGGGAATCGAAACCACGCCAGTTGATTCAATGACAGACCTTATGATACAGCACGCACTTGCCCCCCTTGACTGGAATAGCATCATATAATAGAGATGTTGTGATATGATATATAATTATATTTATACAAACCTTTCCCTGGAATATATCACGAAGATAACTCTCACTGCTTAACACCAACATCTTGATATGGTCTCTATTTAAATCAGATACATCTCTACAATAATATAACAATATACCTATAATATACATGTATATACCTATAACATACATGTATAATATAATAATATACCTATAATATAACATACATGTATATACTTATATATCTATTATATAACACTAGAAGAATGCCCGGCTTCCCTCGGAGGTCATAACCCCGAAACTGGAAGTGGTAGACTAACACCACCTGGCCTATGTTACTCCCCGGTCCGAGCTACCCCTATACCCCAAATTTCAGACTCGGGGCAGACCTAGTGTAGACGCCAACCCCCGAACAGACAGACAAACAGACAGACAAACAGACACAAACAGACAGACAAACAGACAGACAGACAAACGACAGTCACAAATATTAGTATAGATATAAATGGGTTGCAACATCCTACTGTTCTACTCCGACTGAGCTAATGAAGACGGGTTTACGCCATACAGTGTGCTATGAGGGAGTGCTACTTGCGCCTTCTCTCATTTCTAAATCCAATTATCAAGTGTTCTTTGATGTACATGCCGATGTGGGGGGTTGGATGGCTGAATGGTTAGCGTGCGCGCGCTGTATCATAAAGTCTGTCATTGAGTCGACTGGCGTGGTTTCGAATCCCCGGTTGTACGTGGCAAGGAGTAGGGTCGCCTGTCCAGCCTCGTGGGTTTTCTCCGGGTCCTCCGGTTTCCTCCCACTGCTAAAGACCCCTACGCGCAAGCGAATTATTGAAATAAAATTAAACCATATGTTAGTCCCGAAATGACCTAGTTTGTGTCGAGTGGACGTTAAACCCCATTTCTCTCTCTCTCACATGCCGATGTGTAAATAGGACCTCGGTATTTCGAACCATCTGCACAATTAGACAAGGGGGGACCACAACGAAAAATCCAAATGAACTTTCTCGGCCAAGTGATCTCTCTTCAGTTATGGCAAAATTGCAATGTACTTACTCAATTTCAAGAACTTCTCTTCTTAAATCAAGGTTTTTTTCATCTTTTACTTTTGGAAGATCAGATAGTTCTTCGATCAAAAGAATATCAAAATCGGCTGCAGCTTTCGTTGATGAACTTTTTATATCACTTGGCTTCACGGCTTTAACGATAGCAGACTTGGAGTTATTCAACAAATCCAATATCGACCTTTCCGCTTTGGAGTTATTCAACAAATCCAATATCGACCTTTCTGCTTTTTTCTCTGAAGTGGAGGCCTTAAAAATATCATAATTATTCGTTTTTGTAACTTTTCTTGATTTGGCTCTTGGCTTTGTTGCTACTGATTTTGATTCCGGTTGCTTTCGTTTGTTCCGCTCTTTTGGTAAAGAGATCTTAGGTAAAACGTCTGTCTCCTGGAATTCGTTCACCGAACTGTTTGTGTCGAAATTCACCCCCCGAGATTTGATTGATCTTGTTTTTCGCATCTGCTTCACTGTATCTTTGTTGTTGACTATATCTTTCGACGGAGAAACTGTTTCGGACGATTTATCTTTAAGATTTACAGGGATTGTTTCGGCAGATGTGATAACGTTTGCTTTATAAGGAATTGTTTCAGCAGGGGAGACAACTTTGGGCTTATTCACAAAACTAGCAGACGGTAAGGAGGTATTAACACTATGATTAAAAATGGTGGACAGTCGCGGGCAGCGAAGACGAGTTTTTGATTTAACCAAATTAGGCGTCGACGAATCTGGTGAGTCGCTGTTTTCGTTATCAGTTTTTGCAGAAACAAAATTATTATCTGTCTTTTCACAATTCGTAATTATCAATTCAGGAATTTCTTTATTGATATCCAATGTTGACAATTGTGGATCTTTTTCCGGTGTGGTGACAATTTGGGGGAATTTCGTTTTTAATTTGGATTTTGTCTGCACCGTTTCAACTTTTGTTTTTTTTGGGCTTTCCAGCGATAAATCCTGACTGCCAAAATCGTAGGGATCGGCTTTGTCGCTATTTTTCACACTCGTTTTCTCGACCACACCGGATTCTATTAATTTCGTATCTGTTGCTGGCAGTTTTTTTGTGTATTTTTTAGCTTTACGAACCAATGGTTTGCCATCACTTTCGTCATTCATGTTGTCTTTATTTTCTTTTGAATCGATTTGAATGTCTTCTTCTTTACTTGCCGCCATGTCCGTAATCGGAAAATCACTTTCAGACGTACTGCATGATTTGACTTCCATGTCATTAACGTCGTCTCCTAAATCATCATTGTCTTCCATTTTATCTTTCCGGTCCGTTACATTCGTCTCAATAACAACTTTAAACGCATTTAACAGAGAATTTCGTTTCGGTATTACATTTTTTTCTTTCTTTTTTTTCCTGGAAAGTTTTGGACCACTCCGCTTAATACTGAAATAAATCAAAATTACAACAATAAAATTTAATCTCATTCTTCTTTACTAATTTCAACTGCCAAGGAAATTTTTATGTGTAATAGATTTTTTTTGTCCCAACCAAAGGACTATAGGGTAATATCTATTACAGAGAGAGATAAAGAGAGGGTTTAACATCAACTTGACACTGACTAGGTCATTTAGTGACTAACATGTGGTTCAATTTTATTTCAATAATTCATTTGCTTGTACAGGTCTGTAGCAGTTGGAGGATATAGAGAAAATTCACGATGTTGGGCAGGCCACCCTATTACATGTCACGTACAAGCGGGGAATCAAAATTATTGATAACAGTAAAACTAGAGAGCTTCTTTTTGAATCCAAAAGGAAATGATTAGATGTAATTAAAATTTGTACAAAGAAAAGGATGTTGTTATTTTTTGTCCCATCCAAAGAACTATTAAGAGGATTATTGCTTACAGTAAAATTAGCTTATAAAGATTGGCTTCGAATACCAAATGGCAAGGAAACATTTACATGAAATTTAAATTTGCACGCAGAAAAGAACGTAATTTTTTGGCCCATCCAAAGGACTAGTACAAGAAATTTTGATTATAGTAAAACTAGAAACTGATGTTGCTGCTCACAGATTTTTAATCTTTTTCTTGGATTCATCAGGAGGGTTAGAGATGGATAATGGACACGGCGTCGGCAGTGATTGTGGAATAGGTGGAACAGTAGAAGAACTGGTAGTATGTTTATTTTGTGGAGATTTCTGAAAGTAGCTGCTGATACCAACACCCTGTTTACTGGTACAACCACTTATTGTTAACAGCTGAAAATAAAATCAAATGAAATCAAAGTAACAAAATAAGATAAACAAGCCAACAGTGAGGCTGAGCATCAACCAATCAAATTGCTTATCTCTGCTTACCCTAATCAGAAAATGCTCATCTTCGAACTCCATCAAGACATTGACCTAATAAACACCTACACCAAGTTTGAACATTCTAGGTCAATTAGAAGGAGAGTTATTGTGTCCCAAAAAGTGTGACGGACAGACAGAAGGACAGACAGACAGACCCATTTTAATAGTCCCCTACTTTCTTCGAAAGGTGGGGGACAAAAAAAAATAATAACAAGTGGTTGCCATGCAAGATACACGGCATATTTTTCATTAGAGAGAGAGGGAGAAATGGGGTTTTAACGTCCACTAGACAAAAACTATTTCATTTCGGGACTAACATGGTTCAATTTTATTTCAATGACTAACATGGTTCAATTTTATTTCAATGATTCGCTTGCGCGTAAGGGTCTTTATCAGTGGGAGGAAACCGGAGGACCGGGGAAAACCCATCATGATCCAACCCCACAAAATGAAATAGACAATTTCTGAAGATGCCATGAAATGAGGATTAATGTTCTACTTTACTCCACCAACCAGTGTGCCATGAGAGAAATTTTGCCCAGAAAACAGCATTTATCAAGTTCTTTTACATGCATGCCAACTTGTACACAAATCTTCTTTTTTATGTGGGTGGAATCCAGACGATAAGAGATGCTGTTCAGTGATGCACGACTGTAAACAGGAAACCACCCTGACAGATCCTAATAATTCTGAACTTTCTCGTCTAATTGGACTTTCTGGAATCAAAACCTCGTTAAATTTTTATTTTAAAAACAAAGTAAAAATATTATGATGAATTTAAATTTTTTATTCTGTATGTTGCTTGATCCACCTAACTTTAGAACCCAGCCATGTACTAGGATCCCATACGCAAAGATTCTTGTGGGTTTTTTTGTTTTTAAAACTAAACTTAAAATAGAGTTGATAAAGTTCTTGTTAAAATATTTTTGGTCGATTCTTTAAAATTTGTTGGTTTTGATTCCCCAGTTGTAAGTGACAAGGAGTTGCCTGTCCACGCTAGAGGGTTTTCTCTGGGTCGGTTTCCTCCCACTGCTAAACACCCCTGCGTGCAAGCCAATTATTGAAAAAAATTAAACCATGTGTTAGTCCCGAAACGACCTAGTTTGTGTTGGGTGGACGTTAAACCCATTTCATTCTCTCTCAAAATTTGTAATTTTTTAATAATAATTATGTAAAAGCAAACTACAATCTTAGACCAAGAACACCTGACTGCCAAAGTTAGTCTCTATGAGCAAGGGAAAAAACTCTATTTAAAGGTAAGGGAGATAACTACATTTAGTGAGAGTAAAGTATGATTGTATTAATTTATTCTAGTACAAACCTGTGTCATGATGTTCTGTGATGCATCATTTATCGGACAGACATAAACAATCAACTTCTCTTTAAAAACATCAAAATATCGGTAAATACCTGGAATACGTAACATCATGGTGAGTTAAAAATATCACAATTCTTTCTCTTTATACACATCTTGATCATATTAGAGATAAAAAAAACCAGGAACTGTGTGAATTCTTGAGACAAGGTGCCTGGCTTTATAATTAGACATATATACATGTAATAAGATATACGATATCTATCTAGATTAGAAATCAAGATTATTCTTTAATTATATATCGTTCAAAGTATTTGGACAAGACATTTTCTATATTAGATGTACGTGCCAAGATGGCTAGTCATCAACCTGGAATGTGAAATCATTAATTACATATATTTAGATTTGAAATCAACAATCACGGTTTAAAGTTTGTGAGTGAAGCAGGGAATGTAATATCATGGATCAACAATAACCATGGAATTATTAAATTCTGTGATGTCATATATACAGTAAGGTCAAGAGATCCTGACCTGGCCGTCTCGCTGATGTTATCTTCGCAATAAAATCTTGGTTATTTCCCTGTCTTCATTAGCCAAGTCAGAGCAGAACAGTAGGATGTTAAACGACATTTTATTTCATTTCTTGCTTATTTCTCCAGGTCTTAAAAAACAATTTGTATTAATTGTTTCTCCATTAAAGGGAGCCACTGTGGTTCAGTGAGTATGGGATTAGCTTACGAACCCAGAGGTGAGAGAGAGAGAGAAATGGGGTTTAACGTCCACTCGATACAAACTAGGTCATTTCGGGACAAACACATGGTTCAATTTTATTTCAATAATTTGTTTGCGCGTAGGGGTCTTTAGCAGTGGAGGGAAACCGGAGGACCCGGAGAAACCCCACGAGGTTGGACAGGCGACCCTACTCCTTGTCGCGTACAACCGGGGATTCAAAATCACACCAGTTGACTCAATGACAGGCCTTATGATATAGCGTGCACACGTTAACCATTCGGCCATCCAACTCCCCAAACCAAGAGGTACAAGGTTTAATCCTACTGTTGGGCAGGAAAGATCTTCAAGATTTGACAGCATGGTTTTCTCTTGTCAGTGGTGCAGGACCGAGGGTTGGTCTGGCAAGTAACTGTATCTAGTTGTTCCCACCGAGGTCCTGTGATAGAACCCTAACCCTAACCCTATGATGTAGGTAGACACCACAATCTGACCAAGACTTCCTTTCATAGCAAAAGAAAACAAGTGACTTTAAAACCAAATAAATTTCATAACACATCCAATATGACCCTCAACTCATTAAGTTACCTCCAATCTGGTTTACTAAACACTGGGTTAGATCTATTTATCAAGGCTAAACACCGGGTTAGATCTATTTATCAAGGCTAAATGCATAATTACCAGTTATAAACAGGACTAGAGAGAGAGAGAAATGGGGTTTAACGTCCACTCGACACAAACTAGGTAATTTAGGGACTAACATTTGGTTTAATTTTATATACATAATTTGCTTGCGTGTAGGGGTCTTTAGCAGTGGGAGGAAACGGGAGGACCCGGAGAAAACCCACGAGGTTGGACAGGCGACCCTACTCCTTGTCACGTACAACCGGGGATTCGAAACCTATAAACAGGACTAGAGATAACCCTTACCTAAGACCTAGCCCTATATGCCTTACCCTAACCCACAATCCTCGGCAACAATCACGTGCCTTGTCAGATAGATCTGACCATAAAAAACCCTACGCACCATTGGATTATTAATATATTAAACCATGTTAGTCTCAAGATGACCTAGTTTATGTCAAGTGGATATTAAACCCTCTTTATACACTCCCATCCCACCATCTAACTCTCTACCTCTGTGTAAAGTAAAGATGTTTATAATTGTATTAATATAATATTGAACCATATGTTAGTCCCAAGATGACCTAGTTTATGTGTGTGTGTGACTCTCTCTCTCCGCACTATCCCTGTCTCACTCTTTCTCGCCCCGCTTCGCTCTACCCCGCCCCTCTCTCTCTCTCGCTAAAAATGAGGGAATAGGGTTTAACGTCCATTCGACTAACATGGTTCAATTTTATTTCAACAACTCGCTTGCGCATAGGGCTCTCTATCAGTGGGAGGAAACCGGAGGACCCAGGGAAAACCCCACGAGGTTGAACAGGCGACAGTACTCCTTGTCACTATAACCATCTCTCTGTGTATAAAGATGTTTGCAACTCACTGTGTTATTATTGATTGATTGTATCTACCAGTTATAACTAGCACTAACCCTAACCCTATGTATAGGAGATATCTAAGTAAAGATTCGAATCCCCGGTTGTACGTGGCAAGGAGTAGGGTCGCATGTCCAACCTCGTGGGTTTTCTCCGGGTCCTCCGGTTTCCTCCCACTGCTAAAGACCCCTACGCACAAGCGAATTATGTAAATAAAATTAAACCATATGTTAGTCCCGAAATGACCTAGTTTGTGTCGAGTGGACGTTAAACCCCATTTCTCTCTCTCTCTCTAAGTAGAGACTGTTTATAACTGACTGTGTTAATATTTATTGATTGATTTATCTAGGTAGTTTACACATGAGTTGTGTTGTTAAAGTTTTAAACAAAATCAATAAGTCAATATTAATGTCTTCCAAAACCTGGAGAATGTTCACTTGTTTTATTGATTTTTGTTTAGAAATGTTGATAAAAGAATAAAACTATCTTTATTCAGTGCTTAAAGATACATTATGGAAGATTAGATAAAGAGTTGGCAGTTCTCACTATAAAAGTTAAAAAACTAGATAATGTAAAGGAATTTGCTGAAAATTTCAGTCAAACTGATCCACTCTGAACCGAGAATTTAGCAATTGAATTTTAGGCTAAGCCTTGATCATCATTACTAAAGTCGATATGATAAAAAACATAGTCTCGATTATCCATTTTAGATTTAATCAGAAGCAGCAGATCGGATTCTAATCCAGTAAATATCGCTGGCTAGCGATGCCATCTAGAGTTGATTATGGTCTGGATAGGTTAATTAATGTCTAATTAATAATTCAGATAACATTTCAGACCTAAAGAATGAACGGCAATAGTCAGATTTAGCTCTTGTATAATCTACATGTATTTCTAAAGGAAGGGTGGATGGGGCGGAGGGTGTGGAAATGGGGTTTAACATCTATTCAACACAAACTAGGTCATTTCGAGACTAACGCATGATTCAACTTTATTTAAATAATTCGCTTGCGCGTAGGGGTCTTTAGCAGTGAGAGGAAACCAGATAGAGGACTCAGAGAAAACGCACGAAGTTGGACAGGCGACACGGGTCTACTCCTTGTCACCTACAACCGGCGAATCGATACCAAGCCAGATGACTCAATGACAGACCTTATGATACAACGCACCATTAAACCACCCAAATAAATTTCGGGATGTCATTCATTTTTTTACCTCCCGTGGCCGTATATAAATCGAAACGGAGCATAAGAATAATGCTGGACTTTGCTGAAAAATATATCGACTTATGACCCGAAAAATACGGTAATTTTGGGGGAATTTGAAACCGGTACGGATGGGCAGTAGTCGGTACGCTTTCATTCTATGGTATTACAATGTCATGTAATTTTCTAGGAATATTATTGACATAAATTTGAATACCGTACGGGAATTAAATATGAAGAATAACGAGGTGCATCTATTTGTTTTATTAAGTAAGAATTTGAATATTTTGTTGACACATGCGTGATTCTTAATTGTGGTTTGAAAACTCCTGCTTAAATAACGATAAGAGTTATGTCCCTTTATTTTCGGGAAGAAAATGTCCGACAACTAAAATTTTGAAATCCCATCACTGCACCCTACCCCCCTGTGCTTAACGTCTAACTCAATATTTTTCATATTAAAAACACAAAGTGTGAACTCATTATTGGTCCATTTCAATCAATATTATGAAATATTTAAGAAACAGTGAACATTTTATAATTAGTACGCGTGTCGTGTATTCTATTATTTCGGGCAACATTTGTAATGAACAAAGAATAACATATTCTAGATGACAAAATGAAATTAAATGAAATGGGTTTTTTTTGCTCCGAACTGGGCTAATGAAGACAGGCATACACCATACAGTGTGCTATGAGGGAAATTTTGCCTGGACTGCGGCCTACTCTTATATCGAATTCCAACTGTCAAGGGATCTTTTACATGCATGCCAATGTGTACACGGGACCTCAGTTTTTCGTTTCATCCGAATGACTAGACAGCTGTCCTTGTCAGGCCCTCCGTCCTGCATCACAGACAAGGGGGAACACGCTGGAAAATATGGGTGAACTTTCTCTGCAAATGCAGGGATTGAACACCCGACCTCCAGGCTAGCGAGCCAGCGTCTTACCAACTTAGCCACCGTGACTCCCATTCTAGATGACAATGTGCAAGTAATTAGTAATGGACGATTCAAAAATGACAAAATAATAACAAAAGAACTATTAACAATGGATTAAGCAGGTGTAAACTGAACAAAATTGACCGGAATTTTTGAAAGATAGGTTGCCAGGCAACAAACATACGCCCACAGCAGCTAAGTCGTCAAGGCGGTCAACAAGGGTTATCGCATATTTTTTCTTTTATCAGTAATGAGAACATTTAATGAAAATCTGATTACGAATAATAACCCATTAAGTATTAAGTAATTATCAGAAATTAAACAATTTATATTAAACATACATTATGCAAGAGCTAAATCTGTCTATTGAAGGTCTTTCTTTAGGCCTGAAATGTTATCTAAATTATTCATTAGACATTAATTAACTTATCCAGACCATAATCAACTCTCGATGGCATCGCTAGCCTGCAATGTTTATTGGATTAGGTTCCGATTTGCTGTTTGACTTCCATTCATAATTAAATCATGAAATGGATAATAGAGACTATATTTTTTATCGTGCCAACTTTAATATTGATGATCGAAGCTAGGCCAAAAAATTCAATTGCTAAAATCTTGGTTCATAGTGGATAAATTTGACTGAAATTTTCAGTCTTTAACTATTATAGTGATAACTGCCAGCTCTTTATCTAATCTTCCATGATGTATCTTTAAACAATATAAAAAAGCCTTTAAAAACCAG